GGTTTCCCAATCGAGTGCAACCAACCCCTCGTGCCTTTGTTAATGTAGTACAAAGGGCTCGTGAATCAGGTGACTTAAGACCTCACAGGGGAGGGCATGCCGGTGCTCCAAGACCGCACGATCAAATACAGGTCCGCACTGAAATACTTGTCGGGAGGATACTTTATAAAACAAGGTAACATTTTTTTTTATTTTTACACACATATTTTGGTTTATCTTCCTTCTATAATCATTATCTGAAAATTAATGACTCAACTTCAAAGTCACCCTGTATATAAATTATAGCATAAGATTCGCAACTCTCCCAAGAACTCTGAATTTTTTTATTTAAAAAATCCTTTTATTTACTTCTTTTTTGTCTCGTATAAAAACAAGCCATCTCGCAAGGTTTTCGAAAAAAATTTTCATAGCTGGTTCCTAAATAAGTGTTAAAATCTAGTAGGCATCTTGTTGGCGGAAATTTGGGATGTTGGGTTAGTACCAGATTACTTTTGACAACAAGCTTCATAAAGTTTGAATTAATAAGTAATGTTTGAGCTTATTTTTGATTGTTGATTGGTTGTTTGTCTGTCGATCGGAAAGTACTGCTTCGATTTGGATGAAATTTTCTCACAAGCTTACTACTTACTATACCAAGGATGAAAAAGCTTTTGAGATTTTGAGAATTTGAGAATTGCTTCATAAGCGACGCAGCTACGGGCCAAAAGTGGAAAAAATAAGAATTTTGGATCTTAGTAAATACACCATAGATTTTACCAGTACATTTGCTTTTGAAACTTGGAGAAATATCAAATGGACGTCTCGCGTCTATGTCGCATTTGCCAGTGCCGGATTCAGGCGATAAGCAAGTAATGAGGAAGCCGCATATTTCATCCTTGGCCTCGGGACGCACAAAAACCTGAAGCCGGCCCTGGCATTTGCTGTACAGTACAGTACAGGGCGGGTGCAAAATGAAAAGTAATATACAGGGTGTAAACTTTATGGTAGTCAGTATTGAACTGGGTAATAGGGTGGGTAAAAACAGGTCAAAAAGTTCATATGACCCATGGTCCAAAGATCAATAGATTTTTGTCTAAATGGCTTTATAGTTTACAACTTTAAGTGCTTTATATCGACCACAATCACCACAATCTTACTAATTTTGATCTAATCTAAAACGTTTTTAAATTGGGTAATTAACAAATAAATGGGATTAAGTTTTAATTTAAGTTAAGCCAAAATTTGTAGTCAGTAAGTAATTTTCATTAAATTAAATAACTATACTATAACTATCTAAAACTGTAATGACTCATCGATGTTCACGTGAACATCACTTAACTACCAGTAGTCGGCTGTTCATAGGCGGGGCATGAATGTTTAACATGGGTGAACTAGATTTGTCACATGCTTAATAAAGAGTGGTTTGAAACATATTGTAAGTCAAAAAGTTGGGAATTACCTTTATTCATCGTCGCTTCCACTTACATCTGACAGTAATAAACTGTCGCTATCGCTTTCCTCGTTGAAATTGACTATAACTGGGCTCTAAGATGGTGTCGATGTGGTGGTCAAGCTGCCACATCTTTGTTTCTTCCTTCACAACATGACGGATAGCATTCTGCCAAGCTTCAGGCGTTACTAGCTGTATGGAAGTCTCAAGTAAAACCTTAACGTCTGGTAATTTGAAGGTTGTGTTATGGCGCGCAATAGAACCCTTCACTTGAGACCAGATGAGCTCTATTGGGTTCAGTTCACAGTGGTAGGGCGGTAACCGCAGCACAGTGACACCACATTGACGGGCCTTCTCATCAGTCACGTAACTAATGTTCGCAGGTTTGTGCTGTTTAATTTTTCCATACAATTCCGCTTTCACACATGAATCGTCAAAAGGGATTCCTTTTTCGCGCAACCATTGCTGCATGTCACTTTTTCGAGATCCCATAGTCGGTACACGTTCGGCTCGACGACTATGATAGGAAGCATTATCCATGACGATCACAGAGTTGGGCTCAACTCCCTAAAGCACCCCTTGAAACCAGCTCTCGAAGCAGCTGGCATTCATTTCGTCATGGTAATCACCTCCTTTCTTAGAGACGAAAATCAAGTCACACTCTTCTAAAAAGCCACTATCGCTACCAATATGAGTTACGATCAATCTTTGACCTTTCCCTGACGGTCCACGAAGACCTGTTGACAAACCTTCAATACTTGCTTGTCGGTTACTCACTACGTTTTTGTCTATCCAGGTTTTTTTAACTGTGTGACCTGCATTTACCCATGTCTCGTCCAAATAATAGATTTTTCTGCTTTGTCGCCTATATTCAATCATTTCGCGAAGGTATTTTCGACGCCAGGCGACTATTTCAGGTCTCTCTATCAATACTGACTTCCGACTACGCGTTTCGTAACGAAAATTAATTTCATGCAGGGATTTCCTCATTACCTCGACGCTCATTTGGGGTATAATTTCATTTTCCTTGATCGCTGCATGTACAGTCTTGAGGGTTGGTATCTCATTCCTAAAGAAGAATGAATGTACGGTTCGCCTTAACGCCATTTTGCTATCGTCATCCAATTTCACGGCCTTTCGTCCCTTCAAATTAAACTTTGGATCAGTAGTAGCTCCAGTTTTCTTCGTTTCATGCACCACCCTGCGAATGGTCCACTCTGGAACGCCTGTCATACTTTCACAACGCGCGAGTGCATCTCCCTGCGACATAGTTCCGTCCAGATAATTGAACACGTTGAGCACGATTTCTTTCGCGTCCCTCTTCAGTGCTTTACGAAGCCGTCTACTTGTTCCCTGGCTTTCAGTACTTCCACTCGTGCCATTTGTACTCTCCATTCTTAAGTATGACCAAAACAGTAATCACAGAAACCACAACAATAACATTTCTTATAAAAACACACAATATGCGATCGCTCAACGAAACACGTTCCAATGCGTTGCCGACGCCTATGAGTCTGCCGGTCGAGGCGCGTCTTTGATTTCATTGCTTCTACCGGCGGAGAACAATCAGCCATTATTTCCATCTCTGTGCTGTTGACCACCGCAAAGCCACAGAAACGACATATGTCGTACGCTATACGGCTGTACTGGAAGGAAGCCGGGATCGAGCTCTGATCACGTGTTGATCACGCGTATGAGTCATTACAATTTTAAATAGTTGTAGTATAGAACACACATGACAACAGCGCGTCGGTCTTTCATCACTCTTTTCGAACCGGCAATCGATCGCAAACGGTAACAGTGATTAGTTATCGTTTTGCATAGATAAATTACCTTATCGTTTTGTCGAGCAGAACATCGGGCTTGTTGTTTTGTTTTTGTTCGCGTACGTCGTCGTGTTTATTTACAAGATTCTGTCAGTGGTTTTTGCACAAAAACATTGAAAATCCGGATTTTTTGAAAACATTCTAGGACGGACCAATGTACTTTTACGCGAGACGGGATATTAGATTTCCATAATACTCACACGTGGCCTCAAGAAAATCCTCATACCATTCGTGAAGGTCATTTCCAACAACGTTTTACAATAAACATTTGGACGGGTATTTTTGACGATCAGGTAATTGGCCCTTTCGAGTTACCCCCAAAGTTGTTAGGAGAAGGATATCTTAGCTTTCTAACCAATAACCTACCAGAACTTTTGGAACAGACCTCAGACAACATGCCATTACAACGGAGACGGAATTTGTGACTCCTTTATGACGGGGTACCACCACACAATTTTAGAGGCGTCATTCAGTATTTGAATGAACATTATCCAAATCGCTGGATCGGTCGAAATGCTCATGATCCTCGAAAATGGCCAGCAAGATCTCCTGACCTCAATCCGATGGATTTCTAGTATTGGGAATAACGTAAAGGGATGGTTTATGGGGCTGGTCCAATAACAACTGAAGCACAACTTTACGAAAAAAAAATTAATGCGGCTGAAATAATAAATGGACAACTTCGAGGACCTAAAGTAAGAAGAAACTGGGTTCGTCGTAATCAAGCTTGTGTGGAAAGTGGAGGACGACATTTTCAACACCTTCTTTAAATACAAAAAAGTGAAGTGTGGGTTTTAAAAAGAAAAACAATGTATGTATCAAAATTGTGTTACCTATTTATAAGTGGATTTTTTTAATACGTTCAATAAACTTTCACACACCAGGTGAAGCGCTGAGACAGTTAGTGCTAAGTCCGTTTTTTTTAATTGTTTGCATTTTACGAGTTCGTTGTCAAATAATGAAATAATAGCTAAGAGCCAAAAATAACAAACTCCATCTTTATTTACACTGCGTTCCATCGTAATTTGCGACTGGCATTGCGGCGTTGTCAGATTTTATTTTACGGTTGCCCTTGAATGTAAAACGATACGCATTCGCTATCACTTCGGCATTTGGAGACTGGGATTGAGAAATCGCAGTCCCGTGCATCTTCAAGACGAGCAAATCCGTGCAAAATCTCAGAGAAGACAAGTAATCGTTTAGTTATTTCTCCCGAAACATGTGGAGATGGGTGCGACATAAAATTGTTATTTAGCAGCTGGCAGATTTTTGTAGATGTACTAAATAACTCAAAAATACCCAACGATGCTACTTTTTCCCCAGAAAATTTTTTCCCCCAACAATTCCCCAAGTACGTGAAAATCCACCAATATGGCAACCCTGGCCTAATCTCACCGCCACACTGCTCAAGCTGGCCTACTTCGCCAGATGATCGATACTTTCAGTAAGGGCAGTGAAGAAGATTCTAGATCGCGGCGCTGGACTAATCGTAAAGGGCCTGTTTGGTTTACTTGATCCATGTAACTTTTTTTGTGATAAACATGTTTGTAATTAACTTTTTCTATTAGAACTAGAACCCTTTGTGATCTGATGACAGCGTTGCGTGGGAATTGCAGAGTCAACCTATTTGACGCCATTATTGTTATATGGTGTAAGAATACGTTAATCAACGATTTAATCTAATCGACGACAGAATTGCACGGAAAGCACAGAGTCAATCTAATTGACGCTCTCTTTTGTTCCAGGAAACCCCAACCGCCGCAATGGACTTGGGAATGCGTCAATCAGCGCTGCGAGCGGCGTCACGTGACCACTGCTTCTTCGTCCAGCCACAAGCAGCCCAAGCTGCAATCGCTGGCCACCTGCGGCATGCTGTGTGGCTCGACGCAGTTGTGGCCTCAACCTACGGGTCCTGTGACCTTGGGCACTCGCGCGGTAACCTTCAATCACCTTCAGATGCAGCTGGTGACCTTGGTGGCAGGACCTGCCAAGCATATGGTCGAGCAGGCATACAGGGCGTTCAACGATAGCATCGTTAGCTTGGTGAGTACTATGGTCCATTTATCAAAGAAACTCAAACAAATCCACGCATACTCCAGAACGCCGAGTACGTTACAAAGACGGCGAGGTTAAACTTTACAACAGATGGTTTACTAAGTCTAGTGAATCAAATCACCCAAAACCTTGATGAGAAAATCTATATATATACAGGGTGTCCGCAAAGTTGGGGTTTTCCTTTTCAGAAACAGCTACCCTTGAAATAACAAAGGTAATGTGTAGTGAAACGAGGGCGACCAAGTAAAAAAAAATAAAGGAAAAAGTACTCCCTCTCCAGTTGACGAGAAGGGCTAAGTACGTCTCTGCCCGAAATCATACCGCTCCAACAGAAAATGAAATCAGCTGATGCGCTACCGAGCAAACGCAGGCAAACAAGGAAGGCAAAATGTTGCGTAAAAAGTCTAGGTATTGCATCCCGTCCAATCGATTTGGGAGAATAAATGGTCCAATGAGCATACATCTCTGTAGCTAATTACCAAAACCCCATAGTATGTTATATCAATTTTATTCTTTTGAATTGCTTTATCCAAATACCTATGCAATAAAATTTGTGGCATTCCATTTAAAATATCACAACTTTGATATGTAGGTCAAAATTGGGACATCGTGTATAATCGCCAATATTTTATAAATGTACAATCAAATGTCATGTATAACATGCCATAAATAGTTTATCCCAAAATGCATTTGTGAGTAATATTCCGTCCACACATGGATGGGCCACCCTGTATATAAAGGGCAAGACTGGTATGATGTAAAGAGATGTAAAGACAAACTGTCCCTAAGCCTCATAAACCATAATGAAGCAATCTTTTCTCTATTTGGCTCCAAAATTATATGAACACGTACCCAAAGACTTCAAACAATTTCGAAATACACATAATTTTAAAAAGAAATTATCAAATGGATACTTGCAATAGGAAGACAACGTATTATTGAATTTCTATCAAATATACCTTAAAAATTATCATCCTCTACATAAACACGTCTTCGACGTACATTTTTAAAAGTTTCTTTAAATTTTTTCAGAAATTAGAATAAAATCTCTATTCAACTGCCAATATGGCGTCCATATATATAAAATCGATGCTGGAGGATATGAGTCGAAACATTGGATTGATATTCTAGTTATATCATCTTGTAGAGGATAAAAAGTGGCAATGCTAATATGCAATTTGTTTCAAAATTCCACTACAAATAATGTCAAGAAAAAATTAAAACTATTTTGGGAAAATTCAGCTTTTTCTGTCTCTCTTCAGAAATAGTTCGAATTATACTAAGTGACATATAAATCCGAACACCCAGTTTAAATGATTTTATTTTAATAAAATTTTGTATAAGTACTTAATGAAGCATAATAAGTAAATGATAAAAATTTCAAAATCATCGCACTGCTTTAAAGCCCTTTGACCTTTAATAATGTGTGGATGCACCCTGATGTGCTACGCATTCTCCAACGCGCCTAGACATGCTTCTGATCAGGTGGTCAATGTCCTCCTGTGGTATCTCATTCCAGGCAACCACCAACTCCTCTCGAAGTGCTTCTAGAGTCTGTCAGGTGCTCAATTGGGGATAAGTCGGGAGATCTTGGTGGCCATGTGACAATGTGACATCACTATGTTGAAAGAAGTCTATTGTGACTCTTGCAACATGTGGTCGGGCATTATCTTGTTGGAAAGTTGGATCTGCCAGGGTGTCAAGATAGGGTAAAAGATGGGGTTCTAGAACTTCGTGGATATAACGCTGCGCGTTCATGTTACCTCTGATGAAGATTAAAGGTGACCTGGAACCATAAGCTGTAGCACCCCAAACCATAACTCCAACAGTGTGATGAACATGTCTTTCAACAAAAAACTGTGGATTCCTCCTTTCACCACGTCGCCTTCTAACCCTGGCACGACCATCGTGCATGCCTAAACAAAATCGAGACAATACTGTTCCATTCCTGGTCCCAGAGTGACCGTTGTCTGCACCACTCAAGGCGATTACGTCGGTGTTCTCGAGTTAAAGGGAGAACCCAGTGTGGCCGGTATGAAAACAAGACAAAACTTCTCATTCGTGGGTAAACACTTCGCATGCCAATAGGTCTTCCGTGTTCTGCAAACCATTCATTTGCAATGGACCTGGTAATGGAGAAACGGTCCCTTAAGGCCAATAATCTTAGGCGGCGATCTTCACGGTCTGTTGTTCTACGGCGGCGTCCAGTGCCCCTTGCTCTTTGCGTACGGCCTTCTCGAAGTCATGCCTGATAACACCTAACCACAGTGTCTACACTTCTTTGCACTCTAACTGCAATTGCCCGAAAAGAAAGTCCAGCTTCCCGAAGTCCCACTATACGGCCCCTATCAAACTCACTAAGTTGACGAAATCGTACAGGTCTCCGTACTCTAGGCATCGTAACCGATCGTAAAGGATGTCAAGAACCAAAATCCGCCAACGTTGATTCTTTACTGCGGCTGAAATATTCATTTTTAGAGCGTTAGTGAATTAAAAAAAAGCAGTATAAAAACCGCAATGTCCAACTGATAAGGCTGAAAATTTTTTCACTTGTTATTTACAGTAAGATAAATACATTCACCAACTTTTATTAAAATAAAACCATTTAAACTGGGTGTTCGGATTTATATGTCACTTAGTATAATTAAATACGCAACTTTGCTCCCATTTAATCAACTTCGTATCTCTTACCGTTTCCGAGATCCCATTGGAGAGGGTCGAATTTGAAACACCAGGAATATCAACGTGTGGTCACGCACTGAATACTGCTTTGGTTCATTGTCTTTTTTGGGTAAATAGACTTTAGGATATCATAGTAATTCTAATCCTTGGTGAAACAGTGAAAACTCGTCTCTACTTTTGATGTTTCGTTCCAGGTTCAGCGAGCAGACTACGTCAAAGATCGCCCTGACATCAAGAAATTCACGGTGAAAGTCACTGTGAGTCATCCGGAAATTGTACGGTTAAAACTGGACACTTCCGAGGGCTACAATGTCGTTGTGAAGGTTCAAAATGACGAAATTGTGGCGAATGTCACAGCGAAAACCTTCTTTGGGGCCAGGCATGGCCTCGAAACTCTATCTCAACTGATATGGTAAGCACGAAAATGATAGCCCATTATTTACACCTCTAATCTATACTTCAGTCTTCACTCTTGTAAAGCTCATTTTTATGCAGATGATACACAAGTGTATACTTTATCTGAAGTCACTTGAAATAGCATAAAAACCTTTGGTCGGCGCGTCCTTTGTAATTTCATGACGTATCATAGGCGTGCGGTCATTTATTTAGAACGATAATAATAATGTTTTTATATCATAATAAATGGATTTTACTATCTTCTTATTTTTTTGATTTGGGATAAAAATACTTATATTGGGAGTTTAATTTATGTTGACTGAAAGTTAAGAAATGGAAAAATTACAGAATTCCAACGTTTGACATAGGCAAATATTTACATAGCAGGTAGGTATATAAAAAGGTATATAAAGACTTACATTATAGGTATTTATATATCATCCTCGCCTTCGGAGCTGTCGCTAGAGTCATCTTGTAGAGGAATTACAACGGGATTTACAGGAGGCAAAAAACAATATTCATTTTCTTTTTCAATAATATGCCTAGAACACTGCTTCCATAGGTCTGTGGCAGCAATATGAGATACTGCATCTCTTATTGTGGCCAATAGCGATTCACTTAATTGAGGGGTCTGATTATGTTTTCTTATTTTTTTTAAAAGCAGCCCAGACCAACTCAATCGGGTTAAAAAAGCAGTAATAGGGAGGTAGACGTAATACTTCATGGCCATTTTGCTGAAGCAGATTGTCAACAACATACTTTTTTTAAAATTTTTGTCTTTTAATAAGATCCAATAATATGGCTTTGGTTGATTTTTGTGGTATTTCCATTCCCTTATCCTTCATAAAATCAATAATGTCTTGTTTTTTTGTGCCTGTATTCGGAATTCTGTTTTTCTGTCGGGAATGGTATGGCGCATTGTCCATAATAATCACTGAATTTGGGGAAATGTTTGGTATTAACTGCTGCTCTATCCACTTTTCAAATAAGTCGGAGGTCATGTCCTCATGATAGTCGGCACATGATTCTTTGATATTTTTGGCAGATAACAGCAAGGCATTAGGTATAAATCCATTTTCACTGCCAGCATGGAGAATAATGATTCGTTTTCCACGGTTGCATGGTGCATTTAAAATGCACTTGTTGCTGTCGTCAACCCAGCCGTACTGCACAACATCATGGGTATCATACCACGTTTCATCCAGGTAAATCAGATTTCTTTTCTGCTCTCTATAGATTTTAACATTGTGCAAAAATTCTTGGCGCAATTCAACGATTCGAGACGACTCCATAATCACCATTCTTTTATCTAATTTTTTGTATTGAAAACCACACAGTTTTACAATAGTCTAGCAGTGAGTCTAAGCATTTGTAATTATAAAAATCTTCAGGATAATCTTTTAATTTATCCCGTATCATTTCCAACGTGGGCACCAAATTTTCTTTATAAAATCCGTATATTATACGACGAATATCTTCCTGAAAACCCACGTCTATTCTTTTTAATTTTTGCCCTATGCGCTTTCTGTGAAAGGAATGGTTGACTACATGTCCCCTTTTTATAACCCGATAAATGGTAGACCGACTGATTTTTGTCAGGATACAAATTCTGTTTAAAATTTGATTTTGCGAGGAATCTGGATTTTCGTTTTTCAGACAATCATACATATTTAGGATTACTCTTTGGGTCCGGTCTTTATGAAAGAATTCTACCTGCACAGGTTCATCAACCATCTCCTCGTGGCTTGGAGCATTTTCCCAAGGTCTCCAAAGAGCCATATTTAGGACACACAAGAACAATCAACACAACAATTAAATCAACAAGTAAACTGAGTATTCAAAAGTCAAAAACGCACAAACTAATAAAATCTATGAAAAAACACGGACAGACTAAAGAAAACACGTTTATTCATCGCTACACGGCACTGGCTAAACTGTTTCAATTTTCAGTAGCCACCTGCACCTGTTCGGAGCTCTGAAATACACGCTTTCTCATTGGCTATGTCCACGCATAGGCGTGCTTTACTCCACGTGGACCGGTGAAACTGCCTTTGATCTTATATTATATTTGCTGCGAAATTTGGCGATTTTTGCAGCAACAGAGCGTGTTAAATATAGATATATAAAACGCACCCGGTATTTCACAGTGTTTCAAGTGACTTCAGATAAAGTATACTTATCATTTCCTCCAGCTCAAATATTGCCTGCTGTTGATCTGATAAATAAAGACCTTGACCGTCTCACTAAGCGAAACATATGCTTAGACTTCTGGTGAAAATAAACCTCGATGACAATACATTACAAATAAGCTCGATAGCGCGTAATTTAGGCTTACGCCTTGACAAAAACTTAAGGTTTGAGGATCATGTTAACAAGTGCTCCAGAAGGGCGTATTGTAATTTAAAGACGATATACGCTCAAAAATCTTACATGAACCAAAAAACTAAAGACTGTGCAATTCTCTTGTTCTGTCGCATTTTAACTTCTGTGATGTCGTCTATGACAAATGTCTAACTAAATTCACCTCTGATAAAATACAACGCGTGCAAAATTCTTGTCTGAGACTTATTTTTGGTTTAAGAAAATACGATTCTGTTTCATCAAAGCTTACTGATGCTGGCTGGCTGAACATGAAGCCACGCAGGCTGCTTCATAGGCTCGTACAGTACCATAAGATTATTATACATAAACTACCATCATACTTACACGAAAAAATTAATTGCCGTTACTTAGCTCACAATCGCAACAAAAAAAACTGACACATTATGTATTTCTACAGTACCATTTATCAAATTAGCCGCTAGGGTCCATCCTCTGATACTGCTTATATGTACAACATACATGTATTTTTTACCTCATTTATATATTTGTATACAGGGTGTTTCAGTTTATTGTTGCATAACTTTAACATTCGATAGAACTTTTAAAATTAATGCATAAAGTCTATATAAACATTGGTCGAAAAATGCGTGGCTTCCGAATTACAGGGTGTTTAAATTTACTTTCTAAAATAGTTTTTTTTTTAAATATTTCGAACAATATTTGATGTATAACAGTAAAAATTGTTACACAAGGGTTTTTTGGTATGACAAAACGAACCATGGGCATAGTTTTACTGTAGCCGCTAGAGGGCGCTCTCTACTGTACCTGTAGTGTATTAAAATAACCGAAAAAAATTTCTTAGTGCAATTTTTGGCTTTTTGAATAAAAAAACTGATTCTTCGCACTTTTCAACATAAAAGAGCTCTCCTGTGAGTTTTCGTTATAGTTAGCCGTTATTGAGATATTTCGATTTTTAAGGTTCGATGCATTTTTAATTATTTATAGGAAAATAATATTTTTTTTACATTTTCGATTTGGGCATTACAAGTAATTAAGATGATCGTTTAGATTGTGTTTTTAAACACAGCAATAATTCCTAACTCCAAATAAACACAAGAAAACAGAATATTAATTTGTTTAATTTTCCAATATTATTGTTAACAAATTAAATTAATTATGTACAACTAAAATGCTACTGGATAGTTAGGACAAACATACAAAATCTAAAGTAGTTGCTAGAAATGTAAACCCAATTGTTCAATACACAATTCACATCTACGAATGGTCGAACGTGGCATTATTCAAATAAGGCCTTATTTCATCGCATGCATTCCTGATTCTGTCTATTAGCATATATCTTGTGGTTACGGGAGTCTGGTACACTTTTTCTTTTAGAAATCCCCACACAAAGAAAGGATTTAGGTCAGGGGATCGTGGAGGCCAGGCGACTGGTCCTCCACGGCCGATCCATCTTTCTGGATAATTTTCGTCCAGCCAGTTTCTAACTATTCTCGAATAATGAGCTGGACAACCATCAAGCTGGAAACAGGCCAATCTTCTTAAATCTAACATAACATCATCCCACATATTTGCATGTTCAGCCTTTAAAAATTCCAAGAAGGTCGCAGCATTTAACCTTGCAGGCAAAAGGTAGGGTCCAAATAGTCGATTACGGTAGATACCAATCCACACGTTCACACTAAATTCAAGCTGATAATTTCTTTCCCGAACTGCATGCGGATTTTCATGCGACCAAATATGTTGATTATGAAAATTTACCACTCCATGTCCAGTGAAGCATGACTCATCGGTCCATAAAACGTTACTTAAAAACTCCCTATTATTATCAGTTCTATCAAGAATCCACTGAGAAAATGTGATTCTTCGTTCTCCGTCCCCTGGCTGTAGTCCTTACACAGGTTGCAAATGGTAAGGACGTCTATGGTCATTTCTAAGAACACGGTGAACATGGCTTGCTGAAATTCCCAAGGCACCAGAAACTCTCCTAACACTTCTTCTCTTACAACATCTATAAATTATACAACTCCATCCCCCAGCAAATCAAAAATATGAAAGGTTGCAAATTCAAGGCAGCTCTGAGACGATTCCTTTTAGATAAGTATAATTAACTTCACTCATAATACTGTAACATTTAGTTTTTTTGGATGAATCTCATGATTATATGATGGAATATTTTCAGTTTTATATTTTCAGCGTTATTTGTTTTTTTTTTTGTACTCATGCTTTTTTTTTCTGCTCTCATATAGTTAGTAGTAGGCATGTAACAGTTGATATCACTATTTTAAAATAGAGCAAGGGATGAGTGGAAGAGCACGCAGGTCGTGAACTCCCCCTTGAGATTCGAGAGCAATTATTCCTATTTGTTTATTATTATTATTATTATTATTATTATTATTATTATTATTATTACTTGTGGTCGCATCTCTATCAAACTCACGCAGAATCATACTGGTAAATCTGCGCTGACGAACATTTATGTTTTGATCCCTTTGGAGATTTCCAAAACCATTTTCAATTATTTGGCGATGCACTCTTACAAATACTGAGCGAGTTGGATGTCGTCTGTTTGGAAATCTTCGTGCGTATTCTCTGGCTGCTTCTGCTGCGTTTCCATTTACAAAGCCATACACAAAATGAATATCCGCTAACTCTTGGTTGGAGAATAAAAATGGCATTTTTATAAAACTTACAAAAAAAAACAGGTAAAAGAAACTAAATTTCGTGCATTCACAATTGCAAAAAACCGTCAGGTTTCAACAGACAACAAAACTAACTGTCAACTAATTGACGTTTAACCTTATTCTGCTTTCAATTTCAAAAATATTTGTGGCTGTGTACGGGTTATTGTGGTTCGGTCAACTTGCAGATGTTTTAACATCTATTTCATTATTTAAATTGCCCGCTCATTACACAGATGTTATAACGTTATTTTAAAGTACCTTATGTGGGACACCCTTTAGGTCGGATATTCCGTCGTATACACAGGATTTTGAAGTAAACAATCCGTTTTTTTTTTCAGGTGGGACGAATATGTGCCAGGTGGGGGCTCCCTCCGGGTCCTAAAAGGGGCAACAGTTCAAGATGCCCCCGCATTCCCCTATAGGGGTCTCATGCTGGACACCTCGAGGAACTTCATGTCCATAGACACTTTGAAGAGAGTTCTTGTTGCAATGGCGGCCAGCAAGTTGAACGTCTTCCATTGGCACATCACCGATAGCCAAAGTTTTCCTCTGGTGAGCGGCACTACACGATTTATTATTCCCTACTCACAAGTACAGGGTGGCCCATCCATGTGTGGACGGAATATTGCTCATAAACAAATACATTTTGAGAAAATCTATTAATGGCATCTTATACATGACATGTGAGGGCACATTTCTAAAATATTAGCAATGCTACAGGGTGTCCCAATTTTGACCTACATATCAAAGTTGTGATTTATTAAATAGAATGCCTCAAATTTTATTGCATAAACCGATTCAAAAGAAGAAGATTGATATGACATACTATGGGGTTTTCGAAATTAGCGACTGAGATGTAAGGTGTTTTGTCCAGAAAAACCGTCCACTTCGGCAACCCTTCAATCCGCCATTTTGAAATCTGGAGTGCTGAATTTTGTATCAAAAAAAACTTACATACCTCAGCTTTTATCTTATTTATTACTTTTTCGAATTTTCATTTTTGCTGATACAGGGTGGTCAAAAACGCAAATTGTACTTTTTCTCGAAAATTTCAAATGCATCACCCTGTATATTTGTGCAATTTTGAATTCAATTTTTTATAAGCTTTTTCTTTGTACCAGGTTTGTTTTAGATAAAATGACTAGATTTTGAGTTATTGAGCATTTAATAGACCAACACACCAAAATTAAAGAAAAAAATCACAGCATCCATGGAAACAAAAGACAAACAGTGAGCTAGTTCCATATTGCCACTAAGAGTACAGATTTGACGTAAAAACTAATTACAATCAAAACGGTATGAATCAGCTTCAAGCGTAATAGAGGAAAACAACTATAACAACAACATAAACAAACAACTATCACTAATCAAGACCTAATCTACAAAAACTGCTCGAAAATATCTCCACGATGTTGAATACACGACCGTAGTCTTTGGATAAATGACCGTCAGAGAAGTTCTGCATATATCAGTTTCTGCTCCAATTTGCCGTGCACTTGCATGGGGATTTTCTTTAATAGGACCTCCAACTGATTCGCCCCATTGGTGACAGTTGGATTATTTGTACATTTTTTACTAGTATTTCACTGCTCCACTTGGTTCAAAACGTTCTCGTAGTGTAGAAAATGTTTCCTGCCTTGGATGTTGCTTATAAATGCGAGATGCTAGGAAACTATTTCTTTGGGCTTCGCCCAAAACGAACACCATATTCACCATTTCTTCTTTAGAAAAATTCATTTTCAAACACGTTTTTATTATAATGCTCACAAAGCTAATTTTGACAGTTTGTAACTAATAAACAATTTATTTGTTTCCAAGGATGATGCGATATTTTAGGGAATTAAGCCGTTCCATAAAAGACGTGCTAATAACCGAAAAAATAGCCGTAAAAACCCTTATGTATCCAGTATCAAAAAAAAGCTTAGAAAAATTTGTATCCAAACTTGCACAAATATACAGGGTGGAGCATTTGAAATTTTTGAGAAAAACTACAATTTGCGTTTTTGACCACCCTGTATGAGCAAAAATTAAAATTCGAAAAAGTAACAAATACGATAAAAGCTTATGTGTGTAAATTATCTATCAATATCTTAAACCAAGAGTCATGACTTAAGATATTGATTGTTCCTTATTAGAAAAGTGTTCATTTGTCGGATCTGTCAAATCACAGCGTTGCCAGATGGGTCGGACAGAATTTCCCCAAAACAAGCACCCTCAGAATAGGTACTTTTTAAAAACCCAAATCACAGTTATTTAATGGAAAGGAGCAGGTCTGGTTCAAAGACCGGAGGGATCTATTCCCAAAACGTGTGATTGCCTCCAGGACATTGTAACCTCAAAAAGTTCCCAAAGTAAAAATCCCCCAAATTTGGGAAGAAATCTCCCAACATGGCAACCCTGGCACAGCACCACTGGTACTCTAGGCGTCAAGTTCCGGGGTCGTTTTTACAGCACGAACAGCATTGCTGTAGTTTTTCTCTGGTATACCGGGTGTTAGGGAAATAATATTCGTAACTTTAAGAGCATTAATCTAAGCAAAAAAAATCATTATAACCTGTTCGAAAATCAACCGCTTCGGAGCAAAAAAATGCTGAACTTATTTATTTTTAGTCATGCAATAAATTAATTTTGCAACTTAATAATTTAAATTCATATGCCTAATAGTGTAAAATTTATCAATACATCTATTTATTAAATACAATTCTCCGAAGAAAAACAGACAAACAAAATCCCTCACACAACTGGCAGCGTCGTACTCCGCCTACACCGTATGTATCATCGAGTGTTGTTGTGATTACTAATACATTTAACTGTAACTTTATGTGATTTACGGATGTTGTTTTTTTTCTTTTTTCGTGCATCGCATCGTTTCAAATAAATGACTGATAATCGTGGGAATTGGTGGTGTGTATCGCCACGCACCGCTAAGTACTGTCAAGTAAATTTACTGTACTGAAAGCGTTATTAAATAAAAAATATTAGCCATAAAAAATTGCGTAAAAGTATTCAATAATTCAAGGCATATTTTCAACGAAAATATCATACAAACGTAAACAAATCGATGAATCAGTTGCGGTCCTCGTGCGTTCGTATCGCGGTTGCGTTGCAGCGTTGCCAAATGTTTGAGTAATTTTAATTATTTACGACTCACTTTCCTCGAAAACGATTGATTTTCGGACATAAGTTATATTTCACTTTTTTGATTAGAATAACACAAGAAATCACCTCTTAAAGTTACGAATATTATTTCCCCAACACCCGGTATAGGCTCCAACCGACAGAACTCAAACTGTGGCCATACACACTATCGTGATTTTGTTGTAAATAAATTACATTTGTCTTATTTATTGTTCATCTGCCACTTACGATTTGCTTTAACATGGAGACGTTTTACAAGTTTCTTGTATTTTGCTACTTTTCTTTCCAGGTAGTACCAGCATACCCCGAATTCTCCAAAACTGGGTCCTATGGCCCTGATATGACCTATTCGCCTGAAGAGGTCAGAGGGCTGGTGGAATTCGCCAGGTTAAGGGGTATCAGGGTATTGTTGGAGGTCGACACGCCAGCGCATGCTGGAAACGGGTGGACTTGGGGACCTAAGGAGGGTAAGTCCATTTCTATTCTAATTCGTAATCCAGTAAACGAGTTCTCTTTATATACTAGATGATTTTTGGAAAAAAATTTGGTAATACGTTTCAGAACCTAAAAACTGTTAAATTCGTCCAAGCATGTAATCAACACGTTGTATCGTTGCGAGCGTTCGGGCGGGAGAGGGGGAGGAGGGAGGAGGAGTGGCACTCTTGGCTATAGGGTGTCTGCGAAAGGTTGGGAAATCTCGAAACTGAAGATACTACCGACCAAAATATGTGAATTGACCCAAACATACCGTAGTCCAAAAGTTGATAGTTTGCGAGATGCAGGGTGTCAAAGTTACAATTTTATTTTCTATTTTTCCGAAAAATCTTATTTTTTCGTATTTCCACAACAAAAAAGTTTTTCTTGTTAGAAGCTAATATTTTTCGAGATATTTGTTTTTAAAAGTTCCAATGCATTATTTCTACCATCATGATAAAACATTTTTATAACATAATAATCAAGTTGCTTTGGATAATATCTGAATAGCGTTGATATGGTTTCTGATGTTTGTCATAATATTGCTTCAAACTTCATAAATAATTTTAAGTTCGACAAACACCGATAATGTGACTCGTGTGCGCAAAGTTTTGAACTCAGACCGTCGACTAAGTATTCGTTTAATTGCCCAGATGTTAAATTTACCAAAATCTGTGGTTCATGACATTGTGACACAGCATTTGAGCATGCGCAAAGTGTGCGCGAAGATGGTCCCAAAAGTGCTCACTGACGACCAGAAATTGCGGCGAGTGGAAGTGTGCCAAGAAAATTTGAACATGTGTGAAAGTGACCCCCAATTTTTGAATAACGTAATCACAGGTGACGAGTCGTGGATCTTTGAGTATGATCCCGAGACAAAGAGGCAATCTTCCGAGTGGCACACGACGGCGTCTCCTCGCCCAAAAAAGGGAAGAATGAGCAAATCCAAAGTGAAAACGATGCTCATTGTCTTTTTTGACATCAAAGGTATCGTCCTCCATGAATTTGCTCCTCCTGGACAAACCGTCAACGCCAAGTTTTACGTGGAAGTGCTCAGGAGACTCAAACGAAGGGTCAGTCGGGTCCGACAAAACATCGCAGCCGACTGGAAGTTGCACCACGACAACGCCCCGGCTCACACCTCCTTTCTTGTGAACAGCTACCTGATCAAGGCCGGCATCCCAATGCTTCCGCAGCCGCCCTACAGCCCAGATGTGCCCCCCCCCGGACTTTTTTTTTGTTTCCTCGCCTGAAAAGGGAGGGGATCCAAGCAGCATGCACCGCGGCTCTCAAGGTTATTCCGGAGAATGCCTTCCGTGACGCTTTCAATGCTTGAAAATCGCGCTGGCAGCGCTGCATCGACGCGAAAGTTTTTAAAGAATTGTAACGATGGGCTCAATAAATTTTTTTAAATCGACTCAGTCCTATTACTTTCCGGACAAACCCTGTATGCTCGGTAATTTCATATGACTAGTCCTAAATACCCAAACTGATGTTTTACGAATTCCTTGCCTATCGTCAGAAAGAGAAAAATGTTTCCATACTCATAATAATTATTATTTTGAATATTGAATATTGAATATTGAATAATGAATATACATTTTTTAGTTCTCACACGTTTTAGATTGGCAACTGAGCTTTCTCCGCAGCATCAGCAGAAAGAATTAACTGCCATAGATTTTGATCTTGGGAGACATTTTCTATATAACTTTTGACTTCTAGTCTAATCATATTAGATGAAAATACGCCTGGTTTGCGAAATAATTGTAAAGTCTGGTTTTATTGATGCAAGTTGTTCAAGGGGGTAATCAAAAAATGGACTCATAAAATGGGTACACCAATTTTTGTGGGAAAATTTTTCAATCGACAACAAAGATTGAGAAATCGTGTTTTTTGGGATTCAATCGAAAGTGTTGGCGGGAATAAAAAAACTCTTCATATAAGACTTTTAGTTATTTATGAGACAAAATGAAACTACAGGTAAACAGATCCGACTTTTATTTAAAAAGTTATGTCTGACAACCAAGGCAAACTGCAGGTTTTGGGACTTCACTCTAATTGTTTAGCCCAAAACACCTATTTTTCGGCCATCACTACTAGTTTATTGAGCAATATACAGGGTTAGTTCAAAGACCATTTTGTAGCAAAATACACAAGTTTACCTTGCCGATATGAATCGCAAACCATTCCGGAAGATAAATGTTATTTGTATGCAGAAAAGTATGGGTTACGTTTTTTCTTCTAAACAAATTCAAACACTTGGTATTTGTGAGTAATTCGCAACAAAAGATGATAGACACATCCGCTTTGCTTTAAAATGTGTATAGTAATGTATACTAAGTGACATATAAATCCGAACACCCAGTTTAAATGGTTTTATTTTAATAAAATTTTGTATAAGTACTTGATGAAGCATAATAAGTAAATGATAAAAATTTCAAAATGATTGCACTGCTTTAAAGCCCTTTGACCTTTAATAATGTGTGGATGCACCCTGATGTGCTACGCATTCTCCAACGCGCCTAGGCATGCTTCTGATCAGGTGGTCAATGTCCTCCTGTGGTATCTCATTCCAGGCAACCACCAACTCCTCTCGAAGTGCTTCTAGAGTCTGAGGAGGACGTTGCAAATTGAGCAATCTCCTACCCATCATATCCCACACGTGCTCAATTGGGGATAAGTCGGGACATCTTGGTGGCCACGGTAACAATGTGGCATCATTATGTTGAAAGAAGTCTATTGTGACTCTTGCAACATGTGGTCGGGCATTATCTTGTTGGAAAGTTGGATCTGCCAGGGTGTCAAGATAGGGTAAAAGATGGGGTCCTAGAACTTCGTGGATATAACGCTGCGCGTTCATGTGACCTCTGATGAAGATTAAAGGCGACCTGGAACCATAAGCTATAGCACCCCAAACCATAACTCCAACAGTGTGATGAACATGTCTTTCAACAAAAAACTGTGGATTCCTCCTTTCACCACGTCACCTTCTAACCCTGGCACGACCATCGTGCATGCCTAAACAAAATCGAGACTCGTCACTAAAGACAATACTGTTCCATTCCTGATCCCAGAGTGACCTTTGTCTGCACCACTCAAGACGATTACGTCGGTGTTCTCGAGTTAAAGGGAGGACCCAGTGTGGCCGGTATGAAAACAAGCCAAAACTTCTCATTCGTCGGTAAACACTTCGCATGCCAATAGATCTTCCGTGTTCTGCAAACCGTTCATTTGCAATTGACCTGGTAGTGGAGAAACGGTCCCTTAAGGCCAATAATCTTAGGCGGCGATCTTCACGGTCTGTTGTTCTACGGCGGCGTCCAGTGCCCCTTGCTCTTTGCGTACGGCCTTCTCGAAGCCATGCCTGACAACACCTAACCACAGTGTCTACACTTCTTTGCACTCTAACTGCAATTGCCCGAAAAGAAAGTCCAGCTTCCCGAAGTCCCACTATACGGCCCCTATCAAACTCACTAAGTTGAAGAAATCGTACAGGTCTCCGTACTCTAGGCATTGTAACCGATCGTAAAGGATGTCGAGAACCAAAATTCGCCAACGTTGATTCTTTACTGCGCCTGAAATATTCATTTTTAGAGCGTTAGTGAATTAAAAAAAAGCAGTATAAAAACCGGAATGTCCAAATGATAAGGCTGAACATTTTTTCACTTGTTATTTACAGTAAGATAAATACATTCAAAAACTTTTATTAAAGTAAAACCATTTAAACTGGGTGTTCGGATTTATATGTCACTTAGTATATGTTTTTCAAATATCGTAGCGCATTTGTTCAATTACGCACTAATACGAAATGGTGGAAATTGTTTAGAAGAAAAAAAAAACGTAACATTTGTTTTTCGCATAAAAATAGCATTTATCTTTCGGAACGGTTTGTGATTCATATTGGCATATACTCCAATTTTGTTGTTGTTATTTAGAAGTATGAATCCTACGGATTTGAAGTATTTCAAGTAACTAGTAGCGTGAAATTGTCGTCGCATTACCAACAAGTGCCAAAACCTGCATTTTGACTCGTTTTTCGGCCATAACATTTTTGCTATTAGTCAGATCTTTTCACATGTAGTCTCATTTTGTAGGTCTCACAAATACCTAAAAATCTTATATCAACTTTCGATTTAATCCCTAAAAACACGTTTTCTCATTCTTTGTTGTAAAAAAGTTTTCCCACAAAAACTGGTGTACCCATTTCATTCGTCCATGTTTTGAATACCCCCTTGGACAACTTGCATCAATAAATCCAGACTTTACAATCATTCCGAGAAAATTTGCTAATATGATTAGACTATTCCAGATCTTTCTTGATTTGACGAGACGCCCCTTTGTTACAGGTCTGGGTGAACTGGCAGTCTGCGTAAACGAAAAACCATGGAACATCTACTGCGGGGAACCACCCTGCGGTCAACTGAACCCTGATAACCCGGCCGTTTACACGGTCTTAGAAAATCTGTACAAATATTTGTTAGACTTAACCGGCGAGAGGGAGATTTTCCACATAGGCGGCGATGAAGTGAATCTAGAATGCTGGGCGCAGCACCTCCAGAAAAACATCGTGACGAATAACTATACCGATCTTCACGACCTGTGGGGAGATTTTACAGTGAGTCATTTATTTTTTTACGTTTTGTGCTATACTGAAAATTCGTAAGGGTGTTTTAAGTTATAATAGGAGGACTACGAACCATGAATTGTTTTTTTTCTTAATCATTGCTTAATATCGCTTATTGTTATTTGTTAGGTTAGGTTTGGTTGGTATTGTTATTTGTTAAAATAACCTCTTGGAGTCAGGCTTATATTTAATGAATAGTGATTATATTGCTATATCAATATTTTTTTTCCAGTTATAAAATACACGGGTGTTTCAAATTCGACTCTCCAAATCCGAATTTTTCCAAAATCGTTTAAACTTCTTACTGACTTTTTTGTAGTGAGATTTCAAAATAAATCACACATTGACCTTGCTGCTTTTTCTCCTTTACATAATTAGGAATTAACGTTTCGTCTCTTGTTCTCCAGCATCAACTTGATTTTTTCTTATGAAAAATTCCAAAAATGTATATGTCATACATTGGCCAAAAATAGTTATTAAAAAAAAACAGGATTTCCTAGGCAGAAATTATCAGATAGTCATTTGTTTCGTTTACCAGATCTATCGCAAAATAATTTTTGATTTATCCTGACTCTACCTGAGATGGGATTTCAAAATAAATTATATGTTGTCATTGCCACTTTTTCTCCTCTACAGGATGGCATTCAAATTCTCAATTCCAACACCAACTTTGTTTTTTCATATGAACGCTATATTGGCACTTTGTACATTTAAATGGAGCTTTCAAAGCTAGATTCAGTGATATTGTAGCGTTTTTCTGGGTTCTTTTGGGGGTGGATTAAAATACTGGATTCCACAAAAAGAAATGCACTAATTTATTTTACTTGAATAGATAGAATATTTATGTACACCACTATTTATGTCTAACTAATTCTTCTGTCTCTCCATTGACTGCACTATACTCCACTCTGCTCAACTATACTATACTCCGTACTCTGCCTCCATCTCCCGGCCTTCGACTGATATATTGTCCTCATCGCTGCTTCGAGAAAGGTCTGGCGAGCCACAAAGCGGCATCTAGAATATTCGAGGTCACTTCGCGTCGATCTAGAAGGCGAGTCACTGGTGGGGTTTTCAATAGATGTCGCCAAGCGGCACCACTCTTAAAGTAAGCCTCGATAGCAAAAGCACGTTGCGCTTCGGTCCAACGTTCCATTGTGACTATTTAACCCGCACGCCGAAGGTGTCGATCAAGACCTCTCCCCACTTCCTCGCGTATACGGTTGCCGCGTAATTCAAATTTGGATTTAGAATTATGGAATGTGGAAATACAATATAGTCAAAATTAGGTTGATGCTGGAGGACGAGAGACGAAACGTCAAATTCAAATTGTAATTGTGTCATCTTGCATTTTGAAATCGCACTACAAATAGTCAGGAAAAGATTACTCTGCCTCCATCTCCCGGCCGTCGAGTGATATATTGTCCTCATCGCTGCTTCGAGAAAGGTCTGGCGAGCCACAAAGCGGCATCTAGAATATTCGAGGTCACTTCGCGTCGATCTAGAAGGCGAGTCACTGGTGGGGTTTTCAACAGATGTCGCCAAGCGGCTTATGCGGTCGTGGTCCGCGTAAAAGCAAAGATCGGCCATGAAGCACTGGCGAGTAGGAGAGTCTCCCAACAGTACTATTCATTTTCGTCACACTATCAACATATTCGTAAATTCGGCGGGTTTTATTTCTTAAATATCATTCCGTCCAAATGTTTTTCATCCCTTAGGCCACACTCTTCTAATAGCGCGCGCAAATTCTGAAACACTCTCTTCCAGAGTTCCGGAATGATGCTGTTTATTTCTTGTCGAATGTTGTCTTCAAGCTCCTCCAGTGTTCGTGGTTTATTGGAATACACTATTGACTTCAGATAACCCCACAAAAGATAATCGCCTGGCGTGAGGTCGGGTGACCTAGAGGCCAATTAATGTCTCTTATAACTTTTTGAGGAAAAAGTGCTTTTACCGTGTCCATCAATTCTCTGGAAGTATGGGCAGTGGCTCCATCCTGTTCAAACCATGCGTTTCTGTTAAATCGATCTTCTGTTCTTACAATAGGAGTAAAAAAAGTGTTAATCATTTCTTTGTATCGCTCGGAATTCATTGTCAATGCATGACCATTTTCATCTTCAATGAAATACGACCCAAACAGTCACCTTTCGACTATGTAGCTGTTGTTGACGTTTCTCTTTTGGGTTCCTTTAAAGCATGGACTGATTGGATTTTATAAGGATTGAAACCTATTTTTTCTTCATTATGCCATCCAGTGTTGACCTAGGGATTCCCAAAGCAGCGGAATGCTTCCGTACAGAACGCCGAGGATTTGCAATGGCCCAATCACTTACTCGACGCACAGTTTCTTCGGTTGATACAGTATGTGTGGGGCCAGGAATGGGCTGACTAAGAATAGAGCCTGTTTCAAGGAACCTCTTGATCCACTTTTTCAATAGTTTCTTACTTTGGGCATCTCTTGGTCGGCGAATGTTGTATCGTGTACAAAATTTCCGAAGGGCAGCTGCATATGAATCACCACTCTTAAAGTAAGCCTCGATAGCAAAAGCTCGTTGCGCTCCGGTCCAACGTTCCATTGTGACTATTTAACCCGCACGCCGAAGGTGTCGATCGAGACCTCTCCCCACTTCCTCGCGTATACGGTTGCCGCGTAATTCAAATTTAGATTTAGAATTATGGAATGTGGAAATACAATATAGTCAAAATTAGGTTGATGCTGGAGGACAAGAGACGAAACGTCAAATTCAAATTGTAATTGTGTCAGCTTGCATTTTGAAATCGCACTACAAATAGTCAGGAAAAGATTACTCTGCCTCCATCTCCCGGCCGTCGAGTGATATATTGTCCTCATCGCTGCTTCGAGAAAGGTCTGGCGAGCCACAAAGCGGCATCTAGAATATTCGAGGTCACTTCGCGTCGATCTAGAAGGCGAATCACTGGTGGGGTTCTCAACAGATGTCGCCAAGCGGCTTATGCGGTCGTGGTCGGCGTAAAAGCAAAGATCGGCCATGAAGCACTGGCGAGTAGGAGAGTCTCCCAACAGATGGTGCGAACAGTACTATTTATCTTCGTCACACTATCAACATATTCGTAAAATCGGCGGGTTTCATTTCTTAAATATCATTCCGTCCAAATGTTTTTCATCCCTTAGGCCACACTCTTCTAATAGCGCGCGCAAATTCTGAAACACTCTCTTCCAGAGTTCCGGAATGATGTTGTTTAGTTCTTGTCGAATGTTGTCTTCAAGCTCCTCCAGTGTTCGTGGTTTATACACTTTTGACTTTAGATAACCCCACAAAAAATAATCGCCTGGCGTGAGGTCGGGTGACCTAGGAGGCCAATTAATGTCTCTTATAACTTTTTGAGGAAAAAGTGCTTTTACCGTGTCCATCTATTCTCTGGAAGTATGGGTAGTGGCCCCATCCTGTTCAAACCATGTGTTTCTGTTAAATCGATGTTCTGTTCTTACAATAGGAGTAAAAAAAGTGTCAATCATTTCTTTGTATCGCTCGGAATTGATTGTCAATGCATCACCGTTTTCATCTTCAAAGAAATATGACCCAAACAGTCACCTTTCGACTATGTAGCTGTTGTGGATGTTTCTCTTTTGGGTTCCTTTAACTTATGGACTGATTGGATTTTATAAGGATTCAAACCTATTTTTTCTTCATTATGCCATGCAATGTTGACCTAGGAATTTCCAAAGCAGCGGAATGCTTCCGTACAGAACGCCGAGGATTTGCAATGGCCGAATCACTTACTCGACGCACAGTTTCTTCGGTTGATACAGTATGTGTGGGGCCAGGAATGGGCTGACTAAGAATAGAGCCTGTTTCAAGGAACCTCTTAATCCACTTTTTCAATAGGTTCTTACTTGGGCGTCTCTTAGTCGGCGAATGTTGTATCGCGTACAAAATTTCCGAAGGGCAGCTGCGTATGAGTCACCACTCTTAAAGTAAGCCTCGATAGCAAAAGCTCGTTGCGCTCCGGCCCAACGTTCCATTGTGACTATTTAACCCGCACGCCGAAGGTGTCGATCAAGACCTCTCCCCACTTCCTTCCCATATATGGATTCAGAATTATGGGCACTGTACATCTATGTGGAAATCCAATATAGTAAAAAATCAGGATGATGCTGGAGGACGAGAGACGAAACGTCAAATTGATATCATAACTATGTCATCTTGCATTTTGAAATCGCACTACAAATATTCAGGAAAATATTAAAACAATTTTTGGAAAATTCTGTTTTTTCCGTGTGTCTCCGGAAGTACTTTGAATTTAGAAACTTTCTTAGCTATCTAAATACGCAACTTTCCCCATTTAAGCGACTTCGTATCTCTTACCGAGATCCCAATGGTGAGGGTTGAATTTGAAACATCCGGTACAATCACGATTACTCATTATAAAACATTTTATACTCCGTCAATGACTTCCTTACTGGGGTGCGTTTGTAAATCGCTTGGCAATATAATACCGTACATAATAATGGAATGTAGATTGACAAATGAAATTTTACTCTGGAATAATAATAATAATAATATTTATTCACTCAATGTACAAAGATAACAAACAATATGAGTAAATAAATATAAAATCAAAACAGGCCCAATAGAAGGCATCGCCTGTACATGGACCAATAATTTAAGTTGAAACTGTAGAATGCAAATGTCAAAAAAGGACAAAAATTAGCTACAGTAGATTATGTATTTAGTTGATGTTCGTATTTATGAGTTTATGAATTTCAGTCCTAGATATAGAATGTAGCCACTTTTTAAATTTATTTTGAAACAATTTCCGAAACGTAAATCTTTTAAGTCTTTAGGTACAATTTCATAGAATTTAGGCGCTAAATAGAGATATGATCGCTGCATTATAGATTTATGTGGTTGAGGAACTACTGTGCCACGAATTTTGTACCTGGTATAATGATTATGTTTAATTTTTTGGTCGGTGTTTACAAATTTTTGGTAGTGAATGATAGATACTGTGTAAGAAATAAAGCTGTCTTATATCATACATTCGAACATCTGCGTATAATTTTTTTCAGTGGGATAAAGTTTCGGTTTTTTAAATATCATTTTTAGAATACTTTTTTGAAAAACATCTAAATTATAGATATGTGAGGAACATGCAGCTCCCCATGCTAATATACCATATGTGAGATGGTATAATGTTCGAAGATATTTTTCTGTCAATATATTCCCAAGGTATTTAATTTTGTAGGATACAAATCTAACTTTCTTTAAAATATAATTGACATGGATGTCCCATCGTAAGTGAGGATCCAAGACCACTCCAAGGCATTTTATGTTGGGCACTCTATTAATTTGCATTTTTTGATCATCAATGTTGAAGGAGAAATTTGTGTAATTTGGCAGATGTCTAGCATAAGATCCAAATGGTAAAAAATGTGTTTTAGAGTAGTTAATGCTTAATTTTCTACTGTTAAACCACCGAATAATTTTGATAAAATCATTCTCAATTACATTTTTCAGATCAGACTAGTCAGTGCCTTCATATAATATTGCAGTATCTTCTGCAAAACTAGTTATTTTGCCAACACAATTAATTTGGAAAATATCATTTAAATATATATTGAATAACAGCGGACCTAAGACAGTTCCTTGTAGGACACCACACTTAATATACATTTCTTTACTAAATGATCCTGATATCTGCACAGATTGTGGGCGATTTGACAAATAATTTTCGATCAGTGAGTACGCGTTTCCTCTGAAACCAATTATCTCCAATGCTTCTAATAATAATTTGTGATTAACTGTGTCGAAAGCTTTCTTTAAACCAACAAAAATGCAGATTGAACGGATTCTGTTATCAATATTTTGATGTATTTAATTTACAATTTTAGTTATTGCATGTAGCCTTCTCTTCTGTAAATCCATATTGATTTTCACTTAAAATTTTGAATTTTGTAAGGTATCGAATCATTCTAGTAGATAAAACTTTTTCAAAAACCTGTGCTACACTGGATATTATTGATATTGGTCTATAGTTGTTAACATGTTTTTGTTCCTGATTTATGTATCGGTATTATATTATCTTTTTTTAAAATTGAGGTATATATGCCAGATTCAAAGCATTTGTTGATTAGGTAAGTGAGTGGTTCTGTTATGTCCTCGGCTATAATTTTCAAATGCTCGCTTTTTAAGGACATAACAGTGGTGTATACTTCGCATTGTTCGACTTTATCCAAAATAAATGAGTTCAAAGTTCTTTTTGGAGGCTGAGTATTTTGTACATTTGCTTGTAATTACTTGCTAAATTTTCGCTTATGTCAGTAAAGAATTGTACAAATTCATCGCATAACTGTTGAGTATTTTTTAATACTGTTCCCGATGTTGTATTTAACTCAGTGACACACTCTTTAACTTTTGTTTTCCCAGTAATCTCATCAATAGTTGTCCAAAGCCGCTTAGGATCATTTAACTTATTATTCAATTTATTTAGGTAATGTTTTCGTTTGGTTTGCCTTACAAGCTCTATAAATTTATTTTTATATTGGTTGTAGCAGTCGGTATTCTCTGTAGTTGGCGTTAGTTTCATTACATTATATAGTCTTTCTTTTTCTATTGCCGATGTTATTAATCCTTTGGTAATCCAGGCATTTCTGCTTTTCTCTTTGTGACTAATTATTACTTTATTGGTACTAATATCTATTAGTTTTTTTATTTTCTCTATGAACAGTCCAGTTGCTTTGTCTATATTATTTATAGAGTATAATTGTTCCCAGGATTCTTGTTTGACATTTGATATTAGTTTTGAATTGTCGACAAAAAATTTGTAATTTTCCTGGTTGTTACTAACGGTAGGGATATTAGAATGTTTTTCATTTGAAGATATCAGTAAAATAGTGGAGAAGTGGTCAGTAATATCGCTTTCTAGGATTATTGGTATACAAGTAATTTTGTTGGATAGGTCTTTCACAAAGCAGTGATCATACATGTGCCACTGATGGACCTTGTAGGTAGATTTATATAGGACAGAAATCCGTTACTTGATAGGATATTCAAGTATTCATTTGTGATGGGATCATCGTCCAAAATATATTTATATTGACATCTCCCAAGAAAATATGTTGCTTTAAATGAACTTTATTTTGATTTTGAAAAAAAAATTCGATATTGTTTAAAAACTCGTGGGGTTCTGAACATGGCGGACGATAAATTGCAGATACCTCAATTTTGTTGTGGTTAATTTGGAACATTGTGTTTAAAATTTTGATTCCATCGGTGAAAGTGAATGTATTGCAGTTTATTTCTTACAAAAACTATCACCCCATCGTTTTGGTTATAAGTGCCAAAGTTATACAGCGTGTCATATGATGATGAAGCAAGAAATATCAACCATTTGCCACGTTTCAGTTAAAACTATTAGATCAAAATTGTACTATATGTGGTCGAGTAGTATTTTTAAGTAATCAATGTTGTGTTTTATACTCCTTATGTTCATATTAAAAATTCGAAATTTTGCATCAGAATTTTGTGTATATAAATTAAGTTCATCGACGTTTTGTGCTATATTTGTTGCAATACTTGGAATTTGGAAATCATTAATTTATTTATTTACTGACATTTTTAGGTCTGTGAATCTTTGTTTTTAGAATGCCTAAATTATTACAGGACTATGTAATGACACTTGATGACAGCCGACTAATTTCTAACCACATTTTCTGCGACCATTGTAGTTATTATAAGACACAATAAGGATACGAGGTAGCATTTATCATGAAAAACATATATTATGCCAATTTTGAGGAGTTTTTATATCCAAATAAAATAATCAAACAATGAACTCGGAGAATGATAAGTGACAGAACTCTTATTCCCAAGGTTTTGAGCTCGGGAAGAAAAGCACACTTTTGACGTTCCAGAAGGGTTACTTTGTTCTATTTCCGAACGTATGTAACAGGTGCGTCAAAGAATTACGAACGCTAAAATTGTTACAATTCACGAACGCAGCACTGATGGTTGCCGGAATCCTTACGGGATGTAGGCGGTACAGATGCGCCACAATCATTTTCATGAAACCGCGATTGCCAAAATTGTCAGCAATGAGCGTTTCCTTCTTTCCAGCTAAAAGCCATAAACAGGCTACATCAGGCGAACGGCGGGACCAAGGTTCCACACGTTATAGTGTGGTCGAGCAAGTTGAGTCAGAGGCCATACATCAGCAAGTACCTGGACAAGTCCAACGTCGTCGTGCAGAGTTGGGGTGCCAGCCAATGGACTGACACGCCTGACCTGATCGCTGATGGATACAAGGTCATTTTGTCACATGTTGACGCCTGGTATCTTGACTGCGGTTTCGGAAGGTGAGTTTCTTCGAGTGTTTGGAAAACGATAAATATGAAAAATAGCTAAAAGTACATACAGCAGACGCTCGATAATGTAAACTAATTTAATCCAAGCGTGGTTCATATTATCGAAATGTTTACATTAGCGAACGTGATTTATATAATATTTGATTTATTAAAAGAAACGTTTAATACATACTATTTATAACAAAATAAACAAATATTCTAACAGCGATAAGTATATTTTTAATTAGAAGAAAAATAATTAACAATTTTTGTCTGCGTAAATTTGCGCTTGGCATTGTCTTCCAATGCCTGCGCCCGTAATTTACGAAGAACTAAAATATCCGTGTATGAAACTTCTTTTCTTTCAGCCCAATCTAAAGCTTGGTTAAACACTTGTATAGCTTGCGCGTCAGTCACTACACTTCTGACTTCAATGGGATCGTTCTCATCATCCTCACTGTCCATATCCTCCTCCTTATCAGCATCATTCGTCTGCTTATATTCCATAAATTAATATCAGCAGGAGTACAAACAATGTTGGGATTCACTGTTTTCGATAAATCAACAACATCCAATGACTCACTAATAACATTATCATTATTGGATCGCAAACGTTCTCTAATTACGCTTAAGGGGACATCGTCTTCTTCATCATCTTCATTATTGGTACAAAAAGATTGTTCCAACATTTTTGAATAGTTTGCTGGTTAAGTTCATTCCAGGCCATATGTAAATTTAAAACAGCTTCTCGTAATGTTACTTTTTTTAAAGCCTCAGATAAGTTTTCGGGATTCTTTGATAAGACAGACGAAAGTTGAAACTTGCTATAGTATAGTTTGGTGAGTCTTATTATATTCTGGTCCATCGGTTGAATTAACGGTGTTACGTTGGGCGGCATGTACATGACGAAAATTGACCCATCCCTGCTCCTCAGTTGTTGCTCTGGAGGATGACTTGGTGCATTATCCAATAGTAACAACGCTTTTATTGGAAGCTTCTGTTGTTTTAGGAAACCTTTTACCTACAAATTGAAAACACATCTTCAAATTATGAATAGAGCATTTGTGATAATTGATTGTCATACCTGAGGGACAAAGCACCTGTGGAACCATTTCAGGAATATACTGCTAGTCATCCAAGCGGTTTTTGAACAGTCATAATCAACAGGGATATTAACATTTTTAAATGAGCGCGAATTTTTTGCTTTCCCAATTATCAGTGGCTTTATTTTGTGTGAACCATTAGCATTAGTGCAGGCTAGAAACGTTATTCGTTATTTTTCCGGCTTTTTTCCCGGGGCAGATTTTTCAAATGATGCTGCATAGGTTTTCTCTGGTAATATTTTCCAATAAAGGCCACTTTCATCTTCGTTGTAAATTTGTTCCATTCTTAAATCTAGCTCGGTAATTATTTTCATCAATTTTTCTTTGAATGGTTGCACTAATTGTAGTTGTCCTGATAATTTTTCACCAGTTATAGACAGCAGTCGAATTCCATATCTTGTTTTGAATCGCTAGCTATGAAATTTTCAGTTTCTTTCAGTTTTTCATTTAACAGTCTCGCTCTCTGTTTAAGTACTTCGCCACTAACTGGGACATGATTTTCCCGTTGTTTTAAAAACCACTTATACAAAGAATTTTCCATTTTAGGTGCCTTCGCATTTTTTTAAGTTTTTCTTTTTCCCGGACTTCCAAATGTATTGCACGTTCTTTGTAAAATTTGAGTTTTCATACGCTAAATTTTACAGATTGTTGCTTTCGATACTCCATATTTTTTTGCTAACTGTGTCACTCCCGCACCTAGTGCAACTTCGTCTATGATTTTCACTTTCTCACTCAACTTTAAACGCTTTCTTTTATAGGATGTGGATGCCATAGTCGTAAAATATATTAACGCGTGCAATGTATTCACTTAAGTTCAAAAATGAAATACATACGTACGTATAAACGTATCCTAAACGATCATACGACTGACCGAGTTTGTCGTATTTTATCGCAGAGGTGAATCCCCTACACTCTACATCATAAATCGGGGACTCCCCGACGCCCGACATAAATCATCGAGGCTTCAGCATTTTACCGTCGCGCTGTTTCCGTGCGCCGAGAGTTGTTTACGTTATCGAGCGTACACATCGTTTACGTTATCGCGCGTTCCGTTTGATCCTATAGAACGAAGTTTGTGTTTACATTAGCGCAAGTTTTCATTATCCCGTGTTTACGTTATCGAGCGTCTGCTGTATTACGTTTATTTTGAAATGCCAAAGAATACAGAGCTACCAGAAGAAGAGCCGCTCCGTCGAAAAAAGATACTGTCGCAGTGGCGGAAATGCTACCTGCCATTTGGATGCGATCACCAATTCATTACCTGAGATAATAGTCCAGGAAGTTTCATCTCATCTGCTCGGAAAAATATTCTAATTACGTTTTTTGTGCAACCTAAATAAAACAGAAAAACAATTTTTGATGCAATTTCAGGTCTGGCAACATGCAGATTCATTAAAAGCGCTCTTTTTTTAATGAGAGTATGCGAAAAAACATAACATTTTTCTAAGCAGATGGTAGTCGATGACCGGCATTCGATGCCGTCGGAAAGTGGGTCGCGTAGATGTTGGATGTGTACAGGGCGATTCACTTTGACAAGCTGGTGGTGCGTGCTTCGATACAAAATAAAGAAGGACAATGGTGTCCCGATGTTTCGGTGCCTTGCCTTGCAAGTAATGTTATCGCAGCGTGTTTTGGAATTCGTTTTTAACAGGCTTTTATACAGGGTGTTCCTTAATGATATGCAAATATTTAAGGGTGTGCATCTACATGAAAAATTAATGTTAGTTTGCTCTATATAGTATGGTCCAAAAATGTTTCCCTACAAAAACTCGGGGTGTTGAAGTTTTGGGAAAAGAATGGAAATTGATTAATATTCTCAGAACCGCTTCAGATATTTCACTGATATTTAGTACGTAGTGAAAGTTAATAAAGATGCATATTTTTCAATGCAAAAATAATTTTTAGCTTCAACAGTGGCGTGCATACGGGTATTCACTTCGATGGGTTACGCAATGACAAAGAGGACATTACAATAGATGAATCATTGCCAGACAGTAACGTAGATGCAAAATAATATTTTTCAACTCGCTTTTTTTTTAAGCAAAGAATATTTGTCGTCCATTGTCTAAACCAGAGTTCCCCAAACTTTTTTGTGTCGTAGACCCCTTGCCATGTTTTTCCGTGTTGGGTAGACCCCCTACTTACCTGATATTGATTTCCTGTAAATTTCTAACTGTAGTGAGTAGTGAAGTTTAGTGTTAAAAACTTAAAGTAAAAACACATGTTAATTTATACATTTATTAATTGAATTTAAATTAAAACTACTCAAAATAAAATTTTGTATCTGTCATGTAAAATATACGTAACATTAAATAAACAAGTGTCTGACCAATAAGTGCCCGCATTGGGAATAAGTGCCCGCATTGAAAAAAAATAAGAGAGATAAAATAAAAAAAGTGAAAAATAATAAAAAAAAGTTGTTTACTTAAAATAGTACAATAAGCGAGTTCGTTTATTAATTATAACATAAACGTATGTTCTACAATAATTTCACTGTTAGTTTGATTAAATTCCCCTTCTTATACGTTTAAGTCTAGGCAATAGGCAAAAAATTAACGAATTTTAGTGTGTACCTATCCTTGAATTTTCAGAATAATTTAAAAAAAAATATTTTCTATTAAGGGGGGTTCTTTAAAAACATCAATGCGGGCATTTATTGGTCAGACACCAATAAACATAAAATAAACTATAAATAAAATAACATAAGCAATAAGTCAATATTTTTAGTGAGAAAGATGAACCTGATGCTTTAATAATAAATTATCAACATTTGGCATCAATTTTGTAAGGGTTAATCTTAAATCTCCTCGGCTAATGATGTCCAGTCTGTTTCTTTTTTTTTCGTTAGGACATTGGTAACAGCGCTGAACCCCCTTTCCACTAGGTATGACGATGGAAAGGAAATTAAAAATTTCCTCGCTATATTCCATAATACGGGATAAGTAACGGGTATGTTGTTTTGTAGCCAGAATTGCTGATATCCGTTTTTAAACTGAACCTTAAGTTCTTCGTTTGTACTTAGTTCAGTCAGTTCGTCTTCCTGGCAGCTTGTCTGTGACAAATTGGGGAACTGAGAAAATTCGCCCCGTCCAATATTTTGCTTCATTAGTTTAACTCTAATTTAAGATGGACTTTGTTTTAATCAAATTTAAACTGTCGCCTTGTAATTGCAAATTAACCATATTAAATTTTGTAAACAAATCTGTTAAATAGGCGATGTCTGTTTTCCTCTTCATTGAATTTTCTTTTAAAATTGTATCTTTAGTATCCAGAAATTCTAAAATAGTCGCAAAAAGTGCCAAAAATCTTGTCAAACATAAGCTTTTCGACAGCCAGCGTACTTCCAGTGTGAAGGAGTAATTGATGAAAGTGTTCGTCATTTTCTTCACACAACTGCGCAAATAACCGCGTATTCAACGCGTTGCTTCGGATTCGGTTTACTGCATCAATGACTAAATGAAGTGATTCATGCAATCTAACACTCAAATTTTTAGCAACTAAATGTTGTCGATGGATGACGCAATGTATTGCTAACACCCCTGACACATTTTGTTTTAAATAGCTTATAAATCCACGATAACGTCCAACCATGGCAGGTGCTCCATCTGTAGCTACTGATATTATATTTGATAAAGGAATTGCTTTTTCAATGAAGTAATCCTTCAAAACATGAAATATTGATTCACCTTTAGTGTCGGTTACCAAAGTTCTTGCGAAGAGCAGTTCTTCGTAGATTTCTTGATTCATAATAAAACGAGCATATGTCAATAATAATGCTGCATTATCAGGTAAAGTTGACTCGTCCAGTTGTATAGAGAAATGGGTCGTTTGCAAATAATTACATAAGAAGCTTTCAATATCAGAACTCATTTCATCAATACGTCTTTCAACAGTATTGTTGCTTAAGGGAATTCTTTTAATGATATCAGATGCAGGTTTGTGTAAAACAGTTTTTAAAACCTCTTCAACGGCTGGCAAAATTAACTTCTCTCCGATAGTATGCGGTTTTCCGGATTTTGCTATAAGTAACGAGATATTGTAAGACGCCCGCAAACCATCATCATTTCTTTGTGACGTCGAAGCGAACATTCCGTCCAGTGTAGGTCTCTTCTGAAATTTATCTTTGAGTGTTTGAAAGTATTTCAAATCTTTCTCTGTTTTATCAGGGTGGCATCTTCTCAGATGATCTTGCAGTTTAGATGGTTTCATAGCGTCATTGCCCAAAACTTTGTTGCATAAAAGGCACATAGGCGATTGTTTGTCCGGTAATGATGGAATGAAGCCAAATTTCAAATAATCAACACTGTACTGTCTACATTTCTTTTTAGATTCGGACATGGCATCAGTCATCTGTGGGCAAAATTAATTATTTAAATAAGACAGAAAATCCAGCAGCTGTATATTAAAAATATTTTTTGATTTTTCCGAAAACATTCCATAATTCGAGCATCTTCTTGCAACAATTAGCTCGAATTACGGAGATTGCACTGTAATTATATTACCGATTGCTAAAACTTTCAAAAAGAAACTATTGAGGAGTACTCATGTAATTTTGCATGATTGAATATTTAACTACTAATAACTAAAGTCATGATTGGCGTAATTTATCTATCTTTGCTAACTACGAGTACAAAACTAAAATTTAATAAAAAATAATGAACTTACTTCTCCAGCACTCTCAAACAAAATAACACTGACTCACTATAATTTGTGTGATATACTATCTGTTTATATTTTTCAAAATATTTTCTTAGCACTTTCCTTTTCAAGATTCAGGAAACGAATAAACGTATTTGTCCCATATTCGTATTTATAGAGTGACGAATTGAACAAGTCAGTGCAAGGTAGCGAAGCTCTGAGACTGCGACTCTCAAGTTTTTACAAGTCCAAAATGTATTGCGACCACAAAGCGAATACCAACATCCTACAACTTACACAATTTTATAAACATATATAATAAATTTTTTACTTCATAGGTACTTTTATAAATAATGTATATGTTTTGATATTATAAGATAGTATGATGCAAGTAAATAGGTACTATCAGTGTATGTGTTGAGATCCACTATCGTGGACCCCCATATTCATTTCATGGATCCCCAATTTTTTTTTTCGCTGACGTAGACCGCTTGCAGGTTGTCATAGACCCCTAGAGGTCGATATAGACTACTTTGGGAATCAGTGGTCTAAACCATAAAAACGATAATTACATGAATCACCCTGTATAAATACAATTACAAAGCACGATAGCACTACCCTGTATAAAGCAATAAGAAAGTTCAAGTGAAGCATCTAAATAGAAGGATCTGACTTCTTGGAAAAATATCTTTAGTGGGAAGATCAAAGGCTTTTTCGAGAGTGCCTCTCTACTGGTGAGTTTGTGTCCTTTGGCAATGCTAAGCAGTATTTATACGGTCATAGATTGTAGTATGAAAATAACGTAATTTCAAAAACCTTACATACCCCTGATTTAAAAATTCCGAACCAAAACCGGACCCCAAGTAAAAATCATCAATCATCAATTAAGATTGTATTAAGTATACAGAATATACGAGGGTCGTTTCAAAAATAAGATTTCCAACGCTGTCACTTTGCCGCGCTTGATGATAGGCGAAATCTGGCAACACCGTCGTGTTTATCGGCTCCCTCATCACCGATCCCAACAAGAAGCGCCTATTGGCGACGCTCAGCACAGCCATGCGCAATGAAGCCCTTGATAGCTGTCTTCGCCAGTTGCGAAATTCGTGCGGTCATCCGATTTTTGCACAAAAAAACGTTACCACCCATAGAAAATCGGCGAATCACGATCCGGTAACAGGCGGTTGAGATTCCTGAGGTTCCTGAAAAAGCTGAGACGGGCAATCGAAAATCGTTGTAGGAGAAGACTCTGCAAGGCGTAAGACTGCACCGACTCTATCAGACATGCCTTGGTTAGGCACGGCGAGTTGGATCAATCCTAATAGATTGGGTCCTATCTACTCTGGAGGGTCGGATAGCAACAGCTATGCTGAATAACGTAAGCTGCAGCGTTAGCGTAGCTAGAGACTGCCCTCAGGGCGGAGTTCTGTCACCACTACTGTGGTACATCGTGGTGAACGAACCCCTCGTTAGGCTCAGCAGTGTGGGTGTCTACGTGCAAGCCTATGCTGATGACTTGAGCATAGTAGTTAGGGGACGTTTTTGCAGGGAAGTCGATCTTTCTGTTAATGCTGGAAAGACCGAGCTGATCCTATTCACTAGGAGAAGAAGGCTTGACGGGCTGGTCATGCCGACCTTCTTTCCCAATCAGTGAAATATCTGGGAATTATCCTTGATTGCAAACTGAACTGGAGAGAGCATGTTGAATACAAGGTTAGCAAGGCTCGCAATTCAATGTGGGCCTGTAGACGTGTTGTCGGTGTAAGGTGGAGGCTTAAACCCAAAGTGGTATACTGGCTCTACACGACGATGGTACGTCTATCTCTCTTGTACGGCTTCCTGGTCTGGTGGCCCTGCATTAGAGCTGAGACAACTAAGGAAAAACTCAATAAAATTCAGCGTTTGGTCTGTATTAGCATTACAAGCGCAGTGCGAACAACGCCATTGACTGCAATGGAAGCTCTGTTGGATCTCCCACCATTGGATCTGATGATCCGCGGTGAAGCGAGAGTAGTCGCTCATCCACTGTGGAGTTAGGGCAGCTGGGTCTTCTTGAATCCTGTCAAGGAGCGTACTGCCATCTTAGTCGAATTGCAAAGGGAGGACCCAGTCCTATTACCCCTAAATATCGCTTCGACCGCAAGTTTATTGTGGAGTATCCGACGAGGGAGGAGTGGGACGCCGTTAGCCCGTGACTCTTCGGAGTGAGCGGACGGCTCGGTCACCGAAGAGGGCTAAGGTGCTGGGGTCTCAGGGCCAAGAACTAGGTGGATACACCACTATTTGGCTTGTGTATCTCACATTCTGGAGGAGGGTGGGCCTAGGAGAAGAATAACAATCTTATCCGACAGCCAGGCTGCAATGAAGGCACTAAGTGCCTGTAAGATTACTTCGAGTCTTGTATTGCAATGCAGAGAGGCTCTGGATTGCCTCGCAGCAAGGCATCCGGTATCGTTAATGTGGGTACCGGGGATAAGGGGCAATGAGACGGCGGACGCTCAGGCGAAGACAGGATCAGCCAGCAAGCTCGTTGGTCCTGAGCCAGCTTTAGGAGTGACCGCGCATAGAGCTAGAAGGAAAATAGAGACGAGGATTGCAAGACAACACTCTCAGAAATGGAGAAGTATCTCCAGACATCTCCGCCAGGCACGGCAACTCATTGAAGCGCCCAGTGCTAAGGATGGACGTTTGTTTATCTCTGGATAGAGCCAACCTGAGGTTGCTGGTGAGAGTGTTGTCTGGCCATAACACGTTATGGCAGGCGCAGGAGCCACCTGCACGTGATGGGGGTGGCTGAGGATCCCTTGTGTGAGCGCTGCGGCGCACGTTTTGTGTCGCTGTGAAGCGCTGAGCTACTATAGGCAGACTATACTGGGGTCCATTACTTTGGATCCTCAGGACGTCAAGAAGCTTGGACTCAAGGCGATTATCAACTTCGCTAAAAGGGCGGCTTGTGATCTAAGGAATGTAGAGGTGTAAAAGAGCTCGTTTAAGTGGCCTATGCACTGGCTCCTTATGGTGGCCGGAATGCCTCTAATTTCACGATTCATTCATTAATTCAAGACAACGACAACGCACATCCTCATGTCTCACCACAAACGAAGGACTGAATCGAGCGATTTGGCTAGGAAGTCATTGTCCATCCCCTTTACAGCCCTGACATAGATTTTCTGAAATTGAAGGAGCACCTAGGCGGTCAGCGGTTCGAGACGGACGAGGAGTAGCAAGGATAGTTTTGCTACCCCACAAAATGTGCTAGACATTATTCTGTTCTAAAATCTAATGCAGCAGGTTCGGATGGTATAACAGTCTCAATGCTGAAGCTTTGCTTGCCTCGAGTATTACTACCCCTGACGCATTTATTGAACTTTTGCCTGGAGGCTGGGTATTTCCCTGATGCTTGGAAACTATCTCTTGTCAAGCCCTTGCCTAAATGTAAAAATCCAAAATGTCTCTCAGACTTAAGACCTATAACTTTGATTCCTGTTATATCGAAGATATTGGAGAAATTGATTAAACATCAGGATTATCATTATTTCTCTAATAATGCTTTCTTTCCCAAGTGTCAATCTGGTTTCCGCAGTGGTTTTAGTACAACTTCAGCTTTAGCAAGGGTTTTAGATGACATCATTGCTTCGCTTGATAAGGGAGATGCTTCAGCACTTGTATCATTAGATTATTCTAAGGCGTTCGATAAAATAGATCATGAGCTTTTACGTGCTAAATTGAAGTTTTTTGGTTTTTCAGACATACCTCTAATGTTTTTTATAACATATCTTTCAAATCGTAAACAAGTAGTAGAGATAGACAACACTATATCTAGTCCGATTGATATAACATCAGGTGTCCCTCAGGGTTCAGTTTTAGGGCCCTTGTTGCACTTAATTTATACTATAGACTTGGGTAGCTCTGTGAAAAACTCTTCTGTGATGTGCTATGCCGATGATACACAGATATATAAGAGCTTTAATAGTAACACTTTGCATACTTCAATCAATGAGCTTAATGATGATTTGGAGGCAATAGTAGGATACTCAAATGGTAACAATCTTAAGCTCAATAAGAATAAGTGCTCAGTGATGCTTTTTTGTCCTGCTGTCAAACGTAATACTATATTGTATTCTCTTGATGTAAAAATTGACAAGGAGCGTCTAGCTGTCGTAAATACTACAAAAAATTTAGGGTTGATTATTGATTATACTTTATGGTTTAAGGAGCATGTTTCGTCTATCTTAAAAAAATGTTATGCAACTTTGAAGTGTTTTTATGTCAATCGCTCTATTTTGAATTTTAAAGTTAGAAAAAAGTTATGTGAGGCTATTATATTTCCAAGCTTATTTTACTGTAGCACTGTGTTCTATCATTGTCTTGATTCTATCACAAAAGCAAGACTCCAAAAACTCCAAAATACTTGTTGTCGATTTGTATTTAATCTCAAGAAGTATGATCATGTTTCCTTAAAGAGATTTCAGCTTGGTTATATAGCAGTGTTTACACATAAGATCATATCTTCTAGATCCCCCTTGTATCTTTATGAGAAATTTGTTTTCAGACGAAATAATTCAGACATTGATTTCAGACACAAAAAAAGACTAGAGATCCCTATGTATAAAACAACTTTATTTCGTAGTTCATACACTTACAATGCTATCCTGATTTATAACGAATTAGATGACAATATAAAGGATTGGCCAGTAAACAGATTTCGTAAGCATGTGAAACAGATTTATTTGTCATTGTAGTAATTGTGGAAAAGTTAGTTTTTAATTCTTACATTTTATTTTATTTTACGTAATATATGTGTGTATATATGTATGCTAGGAAGCTATCAAGCTCGTTGTTTTGTTAAGCGTCTTTTGCTTGTCAAAGTTTCCTTTGATTGAGTGTTTCAATTTAGTATTTGGGTAGGTTAAGTAGAGTAGCCAAGAGCTAGACTTCGCCTACGTAGAGGTCACATTATGTTGTAGTGTATATAATGTGCCTAATAAAGACATTTTATTATTATTATTATTATAAGATACAAATTTTTTTCAAATAAAATATTCCTTGTGTCTGAAAAAATTTAGGAACCTTATTTTTGAGACACCCCTCGTATTAAAAACAGATACATAGTTTCTAACCCATTAGTGATATCTTAAAAGTACAGTGGTTACTAGATTTAGACAACTGAAAGGGGTCCGTTTTGCGCGACTGAAACCAAAAACTTATTTTTCCAATAAACATACTTTCAGGTGGCGAGAAACCGGAGAAGCAGCCTGTGATCCATACCGTCCTTGGCAGACCGTCTACTCTCATAGGCCGTGGCAACAGTTTCATCTACCTAAGAACCAAATTATGGGTGGAGAAGTGTGCCTATGGTCCGAACAGGTATTTATATTTTAACCCCCGATTTACCCTGTTTCATCTCACAAGATGGCGAGGTCAATTCATAAAGGCATAAGTTAGTCCCTGTTAGGAACAAGTATAGGAAAGGCATTAAATTGATTATATACACGCATCCTGATTCTGTTATCCCTCAGCATTCGAAGTAGACACGCAGGTTAATTATACTACAACTATTTAAAACTGTAATGACTCATACGCGTGATCAACACGTGATCAGAGCTCGATCCCGGCTTCCTTCCAGTACAGCCTTATAGCGTACGACATATGTCGTTTCTGTGGCTTTGCGGTGGTCAACAGCACAGACAGAGATGGAAATAATGGCTGATTGTTCTCCGCCGGTAGAACCAATGAAATCAAAGACGCGCCTCGACCGGCAGACTCATAGGCGTCGGCAACGCATTGGAACGTGTTTCGTTGAGCGATCGCATATTGTGTGTTTTTATAAGAATTGTTGTGTGATTGTTATTGTTGTGGTTTCTGTGGTTACTGTTTTGGTTATACTTAACCATGGAGAGTACAAATGGCACGAGTGGAAGTACTGAAAGCCAGGGAACAAGTAGACGGCTTCGTAAAGCACTGAAGAGGGACGCGAAAGAAATCGTGCTCAACGTGTTCAATTATCTGAACAGAACTATGTCGCAGGGAGATGCACTCGCGCGTTGTGAAAGTATGACAGGCGTTCCAGAGTGGACCATTCGCAGGGTGGTGCATGAAAAGAAGAAAACTGGAGCTACTACTGATCCAAAGTTTAATTTGAAGGGACGAAAGGCCGTTAAATTGGATGACGATAGCAAAATGGCGTTAAGGCGAACCGTACATTCATTCTTCTTTAGGAATGAGATACCAACCCTCAAGGCTGTACATGCAGCGATCAAGGAAAATGAAATTAGACCCCAAATGAGCGTCGAGGTAATGAGGAAATCCCTGCACGAAATTAATTTTCGTTACGAAACGCGTAATCGGAAGTCAGTATTGATAGAGAGACTTGAAATAGTCGCCTGGCATCGAAAATACCTACGCGAAATGATTGAATATAGGCCACAAAGCAGAAAAATCTATTATTTGGACGAGACATGGGTAAATGCAGGTCACACAGTTAAAAAAACCTGGATAGACAAAAACGTAGTGAGTAACCGACAAGCAAGCATTGAAGGTTTGTCAACAGGTCTTCGTGGACCGTCAGGGAAAGGTCAAAGATTGATCGTAACTCATATTGGTAGCGATAGTGGCTTTTTAGAAGAGTGTGACTTGATTTTCGTCTTTAAGAAAGGAGGTGATTACCATGACGAAATGAATGCCAGCTGCTTCGAGAGCTGGTTTCAAGGGGTGCTTCAGCGAGTTGAGCCCAACTCTGTGATCGTCATGGATAATGCTTCCTACCATAGTTGTCGAGCCGAACGTGTACCGACTATGGGATCTCGAAAAAGTGACATGCAGCAATGGTTGCGCGAAAAAGAAATCCCGTTTGACGATTCATGTGTGAAAGCGGAATTGTATGAAAAAATTAAACAGCACAAACCTGCGAACATTAGTTACGTGACTGATGAGATGGCCCGTCAATGTGGTGTCACTGTGCTGCGGTTACCGCCCTACCACTGTGAACTGAACCCAATAGAGCTCATCTGGGCTCAAGTGCGCGCCATAACACAACCTTCAAATTACCAGACGTTAAGGTTTTACTTGAGACTTCCATACAGCTAGTAACGCCCGAAGCTTGGCAGAATGCTATCCGTCATGTTGTGAAGGAAGAAACAAAAATGTGGCAGCTTGACCACCACATCGACACCATCATAGAGCCAGTTATAGTCAATTTCAACGAGGAAAGCGATAGCGGCAGTTTATTACTGTCACATGTAAGTGGAAGCGACGATGAATAAAGGTAATTCCCAAATTTTTTACTTACAATATGTTTCAAACCACTCTTTATTAAGCATGTGACAAATCTAGTTCACCCATGTTAAACATTCATATCCCGCCTATGAACAGCCGACTACTGCTAGTTAAGTGATGTTCACGTGAACATCGATGAGTCATTACAGTTTTAGATAGTTATAGTATAGTCCCGCACTGGTATATCGAAAATAATGTTACGCCCTCGTAACTGAAAGAATGCCACAACTAATGACGCCGACCTTTAATTTCCAAATGAATAAAGAATGTCAAAAAAAACTACAAAATGTGATCTTGCAGACTAGGTAGTCAATCCAAATCAAAAGCGTCCATCCATGAAGGTTTGACTCAACGACACGACACGCGCAAGCCTGTTCCCCAGCATGCATTGTTGGTTGCAGAAAGCCGAGTAGTCTGTGGTGCTTACCTCTGAGAAGACGTGAAAGAAAGAAAGTTGGTTATAGAATACTTGACGTCATTTTTTTCTTGTCCTAGGTGGACGAATCCTCCGTAGACGCTCGACTTTGGCCACGAGCCGCGGCATTTGCAGAACGAGTTTGGACCGATCCGCAATTGGACGTGGCAACGTTCAACATCCACGAAGACGTGTACACCAGGCTTAACACACACAGGGACCGACTGGTGGCTAGAGGCATTGGGGCAGAAGCCTTGTGGCCACAATGGTGCAGTCAGAACCCAGGCATGTGCCTTTGACCAATTTGGGATGAGGTAGATTTTCTAATGTAGGTGTTATCGTTATCAGTACGATATCGCGGGAAACTAGTAGAACCAGCTAAATAAGATCTGTCTGTTTTCAGTCCCTGTGATCACAACCATCCGGATATCACGTTGTTTCATGCTTTTTCGCCATAAGCAGTGCAGTATAGTTCTAGTCTTTGGGGACAGTATTGTAGTATGCAAGTGTCACCTCTAAGTGTCATCAATGACGACCAAAGATGGAAATGGGGATGATTTTATTATAACATTTTGGATCGTTTAATTATTATTACATTTTTGAGGTCTAAGAAATTGAAGTTTATCACAGAGTGCCTATTTAGGGCTGAATGCAAAGTCGTTTCTCCACTGGTGCTTTCTAATTATGAGGACACCCTTACTTGTTTTGGCAGTATTGACATTCGAGAGTGACAGACAAGCTGTCAAATATAAAAAGGCGGCCTTGATTGATCTGAATCTTCCTCATTGCCTTGCATATATAAAACACATTCCGCATCGGTGGTCAAATTAATAATTGATAACCAGAGGTAATAAAGAGGCCTCAAATAAAAAAAGGCCGGCTTCTGCTGCGCCTTGAAATTTCTATTTTACCGTTTTCATATTACGAACAATAGATAGCGCCAATACGCTTGTTTCATCTTACGAACAATAGATAGCGCCAATATGCTTGTTTCTGTACCAGGCGGTGTTGCCAGACTGGGGCCTGTATCTGGCGTTTGGGGAAAAATATAAAATAACTTCAATATATAGCAAATTCCATTGGCATATCGGTAGAAGAGAGCCTTATCACCCCTATTATGTAAAATAATGGCTGATAGCGATGTGGTCTTCATATTTGTCACTTCTATGCTAGCTAGTCATCAGCCCACGCCACGCGTACTCGCTGTGAACACCATCTATGGAGAAATGGCACAGCGACCTATAGTAAAGAACCTTGGAGACTAAAGGTTGGAGGTCAAACAGCACACTATGAGTTTAACCTCCTATCTCTAGTCTTCGTGTATAAAACTTACAGCTTAGCCCATTGACATCGCTAGCCAACTCTGCTCCAGTATCTTGACGTTTAGGCAACACACATAGCTACTACAGGTGAACATGACGAGAACGATAGCTAGTTCCAAAGTGACAATAGACAGTTTATAGTTATCTTTTTTTTGCTGCTTCGTTATGAACTTCCTTGTTTCGATTTTACACAGTAGCAGGAAAGACCTTCGTTATCCGCTATCGAAATGAGAAAGCTCCGTTAGCTACGGAGTATAGGAAGAGCTTATTTCGTATGATTATATTTTTCTCATTCAGCACACTGATGCCGAAATTTGTAAAGCTGAATAATCTGAATTAGAATAATTTCAAGCTATAAAAACATATTGAATAGAATATAATGGAAATATGAGTTTTAGATTACAAATAAAAATAAATCATAGAAATAGGCAGAGTTTACAATAAATTGAATTGTCTTGATTTTCAATAAAAAAAATTAACAAGGTTTAGAAAGTTTGGGATCACCTTCACGTCAAAATCTAAAAAAAAAACTAAGTAACCTGTCATGACTGTCAGTAGTCAGTACTGTCAAAGAACGTGAAAGAAATAAGTTATCATAAAAGCTCTTTCTTTCGTCGACATTCATTATTTGCTGTTGCTTTCGTAACGGAATGCGTAACGATACATTATTTTTGATCCTGAAATCGTACTGATAACATTCGTCCTTGATCTCCAAAAAATTTGTTTTGGAGACAAATTATAGTGAAATTTTAGCTGAATTTGAGTGAAATGACCACAATGGATGATGATATTTCTTGTTCTTATCCATATAAGCAAGCACTGTTAGATTTTTACACAAGCAACAGATATATATGTGAATATAATATAAAGCAAGTAACTTCGAGCATTATTTAACGTATTCTAGCCAACCTAATGCTATATTTGCGCGACTGAAAAACTATCCGAGATGAAATGAGATGCCGTGGCGCCATCTATGAGAAGTTTTCAAAGCTATGTTTCTCCTCTCATCAATAAGAAGTCTACTTTGAAAAGGTTAGTGTCTCCTAGGTGGCGCTGGAGCTATATGCTCATATATAGTTGGCTACAGCGCCACTTGTGAGACACTAAATAATAATTAAACAATTTAAAATTTTAATTGCACCTTTTTATAAAATGTAATCAACTATGTAACAGCTAACAAATTTAAGTCGTTTAATCAAACTCCGATTTCTAAAACAGTTCTCTTGAATCAATGAACTAGTTTATTTAAACCAAAATGCAATCGTTTAATTGAATTTAATAAACAGTTTACTTAGATTGAGGACAGCAATTTATTTAAAATCAATAACCTATAAAAATGAGTTTACTTGTTCCAAGAAACACAGTTTAATTAAGATATACAGGGTGTTTCAGTTTATTGTTGCATAACTTTAAGATTCGATAGAACTTCTAAAATTAATGCATAAAGTCTATATAAACATGGGTCGAAAAATGCGTGGCTTTCGAAATACAGGGTGTTAAAATTTACTTTCTAAAATAGTTTTTTTTTAAATATTTCGAACAATATTTGATATATAACAGTGAAAATTGCTATACAAGAGTTTATTGGTACGATAAAACGAACCATGGGCATAGTTTTACTGCAGCCGCTAGAGGGCGCTCTCTACTGTACCTGTAGTGTATTAAAATGACCGAAAATTTTTTCTTAGTGTAATTTTTTGCTTTTTGAATAAAAAAACTGATTCTTCGCACTACTTTTCAACATAAAAAAGCTCTCTTGTGAATTTTCGTTATAGTTAGCCGTTTTTGAGATATTTCGATTTTTAAGATTCGATGCATTTTTAATTATTTATGGGAAAATAATATTTTTTTTTATATTTTCGATTTGGGCATTACAAGTAATTAAGATGATCGTTTAGAATTAATTTAATTTGTTAAAAATATTATTGGAAAATTAAACAAATTAATATTCTGTTTTTTTGTGTTTATTTGGAGTTAGGAATTATTGCTGTGTTTAAAAACACAATCTAAATGATCATCTTAATTTATTGTAATGCCCAAATCGAAAATATAAAAAAAATATTATTTTCCCATAAATAATTAAAAATGCATCGAACCTTAAAAATCGAAATATCTCAAAAACGGCTAACTATAACGAGAATTCACAAGAGAGCTTTTTTATGTTGGAAAGTGCGAAGAATCAGTTTTTTTATTCAAAAAGCAAAAAATTGCACTAAGAAAATTTTTTCGGTCATTTTAATACACTACAGGTACAGTAGAGAGCGCCCTCTAGCGGCTACAGTAAAACTAGGCCCATGGTTCGTTTTCTCGTACCAAAAAACCGTTGTATACCAATTTTCACTGTTATACATCAAATATTGTTCGAAATATTCAAAAAAACTATTTTAGAAAGTAAATTTAAACACCCGGTATTTCGGAAGCCACGCATTTTTCGACCCATGTTTATATAGACTTTATGCATTAATTTTAAAAATTCTATCGAATCTTAAAGTTATGCAACAATAAACTGAAACACCCTGTATAATAATATTTTTAAATTTGTTTAATTGGTTTAGGAAAAATTATTTGCTCAGTTTAAAAGAATATTTGGATACTTGGAATTCAAAAGAACAAATTGCATTTTACTGAATGACGTATATTATAACTGTGGTCTGACAAATCTTAAATATCAGAAAAAAATTAAAACTGGATATTGATAGTCGAAGTTTTGCGAGTCATAATAAAAACTTTTGAATTTTATAACCCTAACAAAATTCGGTATTTTATTTTCATTGGTTCTGAACTTATAATATATGGCATCAAGTTTTACCACTTTCGAATAACAAAACAATATTACATACACCATAAATTCGACATTTAAATAAACAAGGATATTCTCAAATAATACAGTCTGCACCAACAGGAGCTCCACTTTCTCTTCATACAATATAAAAGAGAACCATACCAATCCTATTTTAAGCGCAAGCTCCTCGCAAAATGTAACTGAGGAGTGCGAAGCGTAACTTCGGCACTGCGTCTGTCCCATTCATCGATCATTCACGAATGAAGGCCGAGTCCTCGATTCAAACAAACAATTTATTTGTTTTTATGAAAATGTTTAATTGTTTCAAATGTACATTTTCTACATAAACTAAATTTCCTAAACTAATTAAACATCGTTTGCTATTTTCAAGCAAATTAGTTTAATAGTTATCATTAAACTGGTTCCAGAAAATTCATTTCAATCAATCCGAATAATTTAGTTACGTATGATAATTAAAAAATGTAATGCAGGTAAACATTTTTTTCCAAAACAACTGTGTAATTGACCACGTTTTCTCATTTTATCTCGCATATTTTTTCAAACGTGCGAATATAGCATAAGGTTGATTATCTTTATGTAGAATACGATAATCAATGCTTCGAGCTATTAGAGACATTATATATACAATGTTAAACGATTTTTCCGCTGATTAATGTAATTGTATATATTTTTGCGCCCCAGCTTGCACAGTGATACTAGGATAATATTTAGGATAGTTAATATAAGACCATATATTTTCTATATTTCCTATTTACAGAAAACGCAATTGGGATTACATAAACAAGAAACATTTAAACTTGATTTTCAGAAACAATATCTACTTCATGTGTTTTAAAACTCAAAATATATCAAAATTCCTGTTAAAGATTAAAATAACAGAGTTCAGAGTTTTAATTTATTTTACGTCATATTAAAACAATTTGGAAATAGTGTTTAGGCTGTATTGCTAATAAAATATTCAATTTATCAAAAATATTCCTCTAGGCGACAAAATGCAATCTGATAGTATATGCGAATATTCGATAGATACATATAAATTTTGAAAAAACGTGATATTAAAATTGATTGAATTCTGACGTATTATCGTCGTCGCACGCTTACAAAATTCCGATCGAAATAGCTCAGGAATATTAGACATTTTCTGTTAAGAAATTTCAGTTGTGTTTTTCAGCAGAAAATATCTATTATTCCTGGGCTAATTCGAACATGAATTAGGCCGCGAAAAGTAATATTATTTTTAATGGGAAATATAAGAAAATATCCAATATAAGCACTTTTAGTATTTTCCACTTTACGACATAACTGAAATGTTACCTTGACCAATCTTTAAATTTTAACTGTTTTCGGATTATGTGTATCGACTAGTTGTATTATTGAATATTCTAAAAAATATTTTGGAGCTAGTACTGGTTGTTTACAATTTACAACTAGTCTTTGGGTGATATAATATTTAATGTTATTATTACTAAATATTATTTGTTTCGACTGACTCGGAGAATGAATGAGTTAGGATGTAAATATTGATAAAAATATATGTTGGATGTTTTTAATACATGTTTTTGTTTTGTACATAGTAAGGAAATAAATCCGTATAGACTTATCTTAGAGTTTTATTTGAAAATTGAAAAAGACCCATGACCTAATTGTGCCTGAACATTTCTTTATATCGGAAGCAGTGACGTACGTAGAAGCCTAAATACCAGAGTACCATGGAGCTTAAAATACTTTGTTAATCCGACTTTTGAATTTGCTAAGGTTAGTAGAACTGGAAAGAGTCTCCTCAGATGGCCGTCTGACGTACGAATTTACTATAGTTAAAATCACGAAAGATGACTATTACGTCATACCATAAATTGTACTGAAGTAATCAATGGACGTATAATTTATCTGAAGTCACTTGAAATAGCATAAAAACCTTTGGTCGGCGCGTCCTTTGTAATTTCATGACGTATCATAGGCGTGCGGTCATTTATTTAGAACGATAATAATAATGTTTTTATATCACAATAAATTGATTTTACTATCTTCTTATTTTTTTGATTTGGGATAAAAAATACTTATATTGGGAGTTTAATTTATGTTGACTGAAAGTTAAGAAATGGAAAAATTACAGAATTCCAACGTTTGACATAGGCAAATATTTACGTAGCAGGTAGGTATATAAAAAGGTATATAAAGACTTACATTATAGGTATTTATATATCATCCTCGCCTTCGGAGCTGTCGCTAGAGTCATCTTGTAGAGGAATTACAACGGGATTTACAGGAGGCAAAACACAATATTCATTTTCTTTTTCAATAATATGCCTAGAACACTGCTTCCATAGGTCTGTGGCAGCAATATGAGATACTGCATCTCTTATTGTGGCCAATAGCGATTCACTTAATTGAGGGGTCTGATTATGTTTTCTTACTTTTTTTTAAAGCAGCCCAGACCAACTCAATCGGGTTAAAAATGCAGTAATAGGGAGGTAGACGTAATACTTCATGGCCATATTGCTGAAGCAGATTGTCAACAACATACTCTTTTTCAAATTTTTGTCTTTTAATTCTTTTAATAAGATCCAATAATATGGCTTTGGTTGATTTTTGTGGTATTTCCATTCCCTTATCCTTCATAAAATCAATAATGTCTTGTTTTTTGGTGCCTGTATTCGGAATTTTGTTTTTCTGTCGGGAATGGTATGGCGCATTGTCCATAATAATCACTGAATTTGGAGAAATGTTTGGTATTAACTGCTGCTCTATCCACTTTTCAAATAAGTCGGAGGTCATGTCCTCATGATAGTCGGCACATGATTCTTTGATATTTTTGGCAGATAACAGCAAGGCATTAGGTATAAATCGATTTTCACGGCCAGCATGGAGAATAATGATTCGTTTTCCACGGTTGCATGGTGCATTTAAAATGCACTTGTTGCTGTCGTCAACCCAGCCGTACTGCACAACATCATGGGTATCATACCACGTTTCATCCAGGTAAATCAGATTTCTTTTCTGCTCTCTATAGATTTTAACTTTGTGCAAAAATTCTTGGCGCAATTCAACGATTCGAGACGACTCCATAATCACCATTCTTTTATCTAATTTTTTGTATTGAAAACCACACAGTTTTACAATACAGTGCAGTGAGTCTAAGCATTTGTAATTATAAAAATCTTCAGGATAATCTTCTAATTTATCCCGTATCATTTCCAACGTGGGCACCAAATTTTCTTTATAAAATCCGTATATTATACGACGAATATCTTCCTGAAAACCCACGTCTATTCTTTTTAATTTTTGCCCTATGCGCTTTCTGTGGAAGGAATGGTTGACTACATCTCCCCTTTTTATAACCCGATAAATGGTAGACCGACTGATTTTTGTCAGGATACAAATTCTGTTTAAAATTTGATTTTGCGAGGAATCTGGATTTTCGTTTTTCAGACAATCATACATATTTAGGATTACTCTTTGGGTCTGTTCCTCTAAATCTTTATGAAAGAATTCTGCCTGCACAGGTTCATCAACCATCTCCTCGTGGCTTGGAGCATTTTCCCAAGGTGTCCAAAGAGCCATATTTAGGACACACAAGAACAATCAACACAACAATTAAATCAACAAGTAAACTGAGTATTCAAAAGTCAAAAACACACAAACTAATAAAATCTATGAAAAAACACGGACAGACTAAAGAAAACACGTTTATTCACCGCTACACGGCACTGGCTAAACTGTTTCAATTTTCAGTAGCCACCTGCACTTGTTCCGAGCTCTGAAATACACGCTTTCTCATTGGCTATGTCCACGCATAGGCGTGCTTTACTCCACGTGGACCGGTGAAACTGCCTTTGATCTCTTATACGGGGGATATTTGCTGCGAAATTTGGCGATTTTTGCAGCAACAGAGCGTGTTAAATATAGATATATAAAACGCACCCGGTATTTCACAGTGTTTCAAGTGACTTCAGATAAAGTATACGTCGATGTTAAAATCACGATGTAATGAATTTATGTTATAATTTTGCGAAGTTAGGTTAGTTCACTGATTATTTTTATTTTCATTTTATTTCATGGTTTTCAGTGATACCTAATTAATAATTTTTGTTTTGAAAGAACAGTTATGAGTAGAATACAC